GGCCTTGGACACTTCCAGGGATGGGGCAGCCACAGCTGCTCTGGCTCTATACTTCTGTTTATCACCCCAATCCACTGTTATTGATGTTGTGTTTCCTACTCTTAAAGGGAAAATGAGTTAAAATGAATCTATTCCTGAACTCAAACACTCCTAAACGTTGAGCCCAGCTGAGCTGAACTTGCAGGTGAAATCCTGGCCTCCCACTGTGGGAGTTGTGACCTCAACAGGACCAAGACTCACTCTGAGGTGGCTTCAGTTAAAACAAAAGTGGAAAGATGAGCTCAGTCCTATCAGGGTTGGTGGCTCTTCATTCCCTGGCCATGATCAAAGGAGCTCCTCCCCATCTGGGCACAGGGAAAAGCACTTGGTGGCTTTTTGGGCTGCAGTTTCCTCGCGGGGAAGCCACATGTACTCGTGAGTCGGCATATTTTCTGCTGCACTGTGTCCTACCCCACCAAACCCAAACCAGCTGGGCCATGTGTTTCCCAGAGCAGAGAACCTGCAGGGAGGGAAAAAGGGCCCGTAAACTCTCTGCACAGCAGATCTCACAGAGTTTAAGAGACTTCAGGGAGCAGGGGCCTGGAAACGGTCTGCAGATCTGTGAGGGCTGGAGGGAGTCCACACCCGATGAGGTCTGCAAGGTTTCATCCCACAGAGTGCACCCTCTCCCTGCAGAGCTCCCCTGGCATGTGGCAATGTGTTTTGGGGTCTGTGGGTGCTCACTGTCATAGAATCATGGAATATGCTGAGTTAGAAGGGATCCACAAGGATCATCAGCCCAACTCCTGGCTCTGCACAGACACCCCAACAATCCCACCCTGTCCCTCAGAGCGTTGTCCAAACCCTCCTGGAGCTCTGGCAGCCTTGGGGCCGTGCCCACTGCCCTGGGGAGCCTGGGCAGTGCCCCAGCACCCTCTGGGGGAAGAACCTTTCCCTGGGATCCAACCTAAACACCCCTGACACAACTTCAGACTGTTTCCTCAAGTCCTGCCCTTCACAAAGGGGACCCCGGGGTGGTTTCATGGGGTTCCCATGGTCTTGCACAGACCACCTGCTTGGCCGTGTCACCAAATCACTTCTCCGTGGTTTGTCCTGCTGTGGAATAAAGCCAGTAACATTCACCTCACAGGGAGACTGAAAGGTGGGAGGCCATGGGGATGGCCAGGGCAGAGCTGAGCTGTGTGTTTGTTGTGCTCTCGCTGCCCCAGGAGGCTGGTGCTGCCTGAGGGGGAGTCTCAGCCCTGGGGAAGCACAGAGCCAAGCAGGCACAGCACATCAGGACAAGTCAACTCTCTGGCCATCTAGAGCTGCTCTCCCTGTCTCTGTGTCACCATGATGTCACTTCTCTGAGTGGTTTTGATTTCCAGGAAGGACAGTGAGGTCCAAACCGGCTTTACTGCTTTAGGGTCCCACTCCACAGCTCACAGCATTTCCTCCACTTCAGTGACCCCCTGAGACAGCCTGGGTTGGGTGATCCTGATCTAATGTCAAACTTAACCCTGTTCTGAGAGTGGGTTGGGATCAGTGACCCCCTTGAGTCCCTTCCAACCTCACTTTGATTCAGCCTGGCAGGACCAAATCAGCACAAGGGGAGCTGGAGATGGGCAGTGCTGTGGATCCCTTCCCCTGTCCAGGACTGGGCTCTTGCTGGGTGCAGAGTTAGATGATGCTAGGCCATGGTGGTGGTAGAAAGAGCTGCTGATCCCAGTGCTCACTGCAGCTCCCATGGTGCTTCTTACAGCCCCTCTGGGTAGCAGAAGCCACCTCAGATGCTCCTAGGTGATGAGAGGGGCTGTAATGGGGCTTCGTCCTGCTCTGTAGCACTTCCAGTCTGATGACCAGACATGTCTTTGTCAGAGGGTCTCAGCACAGCACTACAGATGTTGACCAGAGAAGCTGTGGCTACCCCATTCCTGGAAGTGTCCAAGGCCAGGTTGGACAGGGCCTGGAGCAGCCTGGGCTAGTGGAAGGTGTCCCTGCCCATGGCAGGAGAAAGGAGATCTTTAAGGTCCCTTCCAATCCAAACCATTCTATGATTCTTTGATTCTGTGTGTAGGGTATGGCCCTGCCCTATGCCCAGACTGATGAAGAGTCAAATTTAGGATGCAAATTTTGGTGTGTGTGGACTGGGACAGGTCTCTGTGAGCTGTAACTGTATAAAACCTGCTACTGCCTCAACTGGGACCAGCAGCACATCCCTTCCTCAGAGCAGATCCCTCCTGGGGAGGGCCGGTGGTGGTTGGGCAGGTGAGTGGAGCTGGGTTTTGGCACAGGAGGGTGTTTGTCTTTCTGCAAGCCCCGGGCTCAGCGCCGCGCATTGCTGAGTTGTGTAAGCACCGGGACTGCTGGAGGGGAGCTGCGGGAGCCAGCCCTGCCGGGATGCAGATGGCTGAGGCTGCTTCCCTGCCTGCCTTCCCTCCCGAGGTGGGAGTGCTCCTGGCCTTTCCCAGAGCCTGGGGCAGTTTCCTGGCGTTCCAAGCCCATCAGAGCTTGGAACTATGTTGCTTGCTCCGTGCTGGGGAAAGCGGTAGGAGCACGGGGAGAGCTGCTTGTGTGGAGTCCCAGGAGATGGGGGTTCTCTCCTGGCTGTGCTGAACCCCACAGAGAGAAGGAGCGGTTAAGAAGGTAGAAGGCAGCCACGGAGACGTGGAGATGTCAGATATAAAAATGGCATTTGCACATGGCATATCCACAGGTATTGGCAGAGCGTGATGGCACACAGGGGTGCGTGGGCATCAGCCACAGACGTGCCTGCAGGTAACGTGTATCCTCATGCAGATAGTGTGTACCCATGTGCACATAGTGTGTGTCCACGTGCAGGTGGTGTGTACTCGTGTGCAGATAACATATTTACATGAAGAGATAGTGTGTATCCATGTACAGTGTGTATCCACATGCAGATAATATGTATCCATGTGCAGATAAGGTGTCCACATGCACATAGCATATATCCATGTGCAGATAACATGCAGCCATGTGCACATAGTGTGTATCCATGTACAGATAGTCTGTCCATGTGCAGATAATATGCATCCATGTGCAGACCACATGAACCCACATGCAGACAGTGTGTATCCATGTGCACAGTGTGTATCCATGTGCACAGCCACACACAAACAGCTGCAGCCATGCCCTGTTTGCACGTGGATGACACATGTGTACTTCCATGCACAGTCCATGAGTGTGTTTGGTGGGGCGAGATGCACTTTCTGTTAATGACTGCTCGGTCCTCTTTGTAATTGTGCTGTTTGTGCCTGGCTGGAGCCAGCAAGGAGAGTGGTGGCAGAGGTCCAGCAAGTCTGGGTCACATGGAGCAGCTCCAAACTATTGCATAAGTCCCGTCTGAAAGTGGACCTGCTTGGTGGAGTCATCTCCTTAAAGCTAAAGAAGTCCAAGGCTGGGAGCTCTGGGCTGCTTGGTGGCCACCTTCCTTCTGCCTGGAGCTGGTTGGCTCAGCAGCTCCATCAAGGCTTACCCTCGTGCCTGACACCCTTCCCTGCGGGTGATCCCAGCTGGCACTTCTCTCCCACTTTCCTGTTGAGGACCTCCGAGCATTTTACCACACTTGGAGCAGTGCAATGACCCCAGCTTTCAGATAGGGCCAGATCCTTATGTAACACAGAGATAGGATTTCCAGAAAGCAAAGCAGGCGGTGTCAGAGCAAGGTCGGTGCTCTCAGCTCTCCACTCACAATGCCCTCACTTGGTCATGGGTTTCTTTTGCCCCTTTGCTGCCAAAATTAAAGACCCTGCTGAATTTTGGAGAGGAGCAAGGGGCTAATTCAGTCCTTTTCTCACTCAGATCACTGAATAGACTTGACTGTAAAACAATTCTCGTGTTTTAGAAAAAAAACTACTCCCACACAGTGCTGGAGGGAGCCCAAACCCCTGTGAAGTTGTTGTACAAAGGGATGGAGGGTGTGCCCGACTTGAGCACAGCAGGGCCCAGCTGGGGCGGCACAGAGAGCCTGGGAGAGGGAGCTGGTGGTCTGAAGGCAGGGAAGGTGTTCACCCAGGCTGGCACCGGGGTGCTGGCAGGGGGGTGAACACCCCGGATCAGACCCCTCACTCCTCAGGTTCAGACTGGCAGCATCAGTCTGGATTTCCCACATTGCCTGGCTGGCACCTTTGGATGGGGTTGGAGCTGATTTTAACAGTGTGAAAGCAGCATCTCTCCTTCTGGCAAGCTCTAAACTGGACCCCACAGTGGCTGGGATGGGTGTCTGCAAAAAACTGCTCTCAGGGTGAGGTGAAACAGCCCTTATGAGCAAGGTGGGCTGCAGGAGTGTTGTGGGTCCCCTCTCAACTAGCAAGGAAGGCAAAGGCAAAGCCCTTGTCCAGTGTGGGATTGGGATCCCGAGCAACGCGAGGGATGGTGAGGCGATCCGAAAGGGTTGCTGTGCAGGCAAAAGCAGTCCCGTGGCTGGAGGCTGTTGTGTTCTGCTGAACAGTGATAACTACATGTTTCTAATTCTTTGCTCGCCGTGCCCCCAGAGAGGCCACGCTTGGAGCAGCAAAGCAGATTACGGTTCAATCCTTTGTTTTCTGTTCTGCAGACCTGTGACTTTAACCCATTTCTCGCAGTTTGCAGATGCTCCCAGCATGACCTGCACGGTTAATGCTGATTTCTGTGGGTTTAACCCATAGTGCTACTCTAGAGCTGAGAACTGACTTCCCAGTGGAAGTCCCGTCGTGCTGGCAAGATGACTGCAAAAAGACTTCTGCCATCTGCAACTCAGCATGTTTTGGACTTGGCAATCCAGCCAAATATTTTGTCAGGAATACCAGGACATTCTCTTGCTGAAAGCCAGGGAGGTCTCGGGAAGCTTTGCATCCACTGCTGACCCCGTGCCGCGGGAGGAGCAGAGTGATGGGGGAGCAGGGCTGTTTATTGTGTCCTCAGGAACGTGCAAGAACCTGCCAGGAGCTGGGAGCTGGGGTGGGGACTGCACACCGTGAAACACCCACCACCTCAGGGGAGTACAGAGGGTGAGAACCCCCAGCCCTCAGCAAACATAAAACTGCATCAGCAACTGAGGGACCTGCCTTGTGCCATTCCCTGGGGTGAGCAGAGTCGAGAAGGTGAGTGGTGGAAGGGATGGAGAAATGGGGAGATGTGATTTAGGAGCAGTTTCAAGCATTGCTGGTCGGTTGAGGGAGGGGATTGTCATGCTTTGCTCTGACCTGGGGCGGCCTCACCTTGAGTTCTGGGGGCAGCTTGGGGACCACAGTGTCAGAAGGATCTAAAACTGTTGGGGAGTGTCCAAAGGAGGGACACAGGGATGGGAACAGGTCTGAGGAGCAGCTGAGGGCACTCGGCTGGTTCAGCTGGAGCAGAGGAGACTGAGGGGAGACTCCTCGGGGGCTGCAGCTCCTGCCGAGGGGAGGCGGAGGGGCAGGGACTGAGCTCTGCTCTGGGACCAGGGACAGGACCCAGGGAAGGGCTGGAGCTGTGCCAGGGGGCTTGGGATGGATCTCAGGGAAAGGTTCTTCCCCCAGAGGGTGCTGGGGCACTGCCCAGGCTCCCCAGGGCAGTGGGCACGGCCCCAAGGCTGCCAGAGCTCCAGGAGGGTTTGGACAACATTCTGAGGGACAGGGTGGGATTGCTGGGGTGTCTGTGCAGGGCAGGGGTTGGACTGGATGATCCCTGTGGGTCCCTTCAGTTCAGAATATTCTGTGATTCTATGCACAAATCTTTGATTCTGTGATTGTGGAGCACAAGTCTGATGAGGAGCAGCTGAGGGAGCTGGGGGGGCTCAGCCTGGAGAAAAGGAGGCTCGGGGGGACCTTCTTACTCTCTGCAACTCCCTGACAGGAGGGGGGAGCCAGGTGGGAGTTGGTCCCTTCTCCCAGGTAACAAGTTATGGGACAAGAAGACACAGCCTCAAGTTGCCCCAGGGGAAGTTTAGACTGGATATCAGGGAAAATTTCTTCACTGAAAGGCTGAAAATAGATTTCAGCTGAGATTTATGGCCAAAACTTGTGGGCCTTCATGAAGCAGCAACAGCAGGTGAGAAGGGAGCTGTTTTATCAGAAAACATGTCTTTAAGATCAGCATCCAGGAGCTACAGGCACTGTGAGGTTTGTTGTGTGTCTGTGGTGAGCAGCTATGGCACCAGGCAGTGGGTAAGAGCCCACTGTGCAGAGCAGGGGATGTGTGAGTAGTGGGTAATCTGAAAAGCCTGTCAGTGCTGCTGCCAAGTGCCCCTCATTGCACTGGCATGGCCCCTGAGCCCATATCCCAGTTCCCACTCCATTTTAGTTTCCATAAGGCCCATGGAACAAACCATGTGTTCACAGCTCTTCCCCTCAGTGATAAATTCTGAACTGGTAGGACAACTCCCAGGTTGGAATGGCTGGAGGAGCAGAAATCCCTGCAGTACTGTTTGTAGGAGCTGTTCATTATGGCCACATTGCTGCCCCTGTAGGGGCTGAAGTTCTGCTCAGCTCCTGGGAGGGTCAAGGGCAGCTGGGACTGAAGGTGACCACAGTGTGCGATGTGACATCACAATAACTCCAATAATCCCAGTGTGGTTATGGGGGGAGCAGTTCCCCATTTTAGAGAAGAAAAAAAATTAACCTTGAGGGCTGGTGATTTTTATTTCTTCATTAACACATTCATTAAAATAACACAGCTCAGAAATGCTGTTGGGGTGAGGTGGTGCAGCTGTGGGGTCCTGCTCCCACTGCTTTCCCACTGCTCTCACTGGGGTGTTGCTCCCACCTCCCGCTGCTTCCCAGTACTCCCAGTGCTCCCACTGGGGTGCTGCTCTCAATTATCCCACTTTTCCCACTGATTTCTCACTATTGTCACTATTCCCACCCTTCCCCCCTACTCCCACTGCTCTCTCACTGCTCCCACTGTTTCCATTACTCTCTCACCCTTCCCACTGCTCCCAGTGCTTCCACTGGGGTGCTGCTCCCACTTCTCCCATTTCTCCCACTGGGGTGCTGCTCTCTGTTCTCCCACTTCTCCCACTGCTTTCTCAGTGCTCCCCTGTTTCCATTACTCTCACAATGTTCCCACTGCTCCCAGTGCTCCCGCTGCTCCCAGTCACTGCTATATCTGGAAGATGTCACTGGAAGGGCTGAGGGGGTGCCTGGCAAGTATTTCCCCCCCAAGGGGGGAGATGGAAGCAGAAATCTGTGTCTGTATTTATTTCTCTGTCTAAAAAAAAAAGGGGGGGGAGGGGGGGAAAGGACACCTGAGCTCATAATTTGCAAAAGTTGGATGAGAAACCTGGAAGCCGCCGGGCCCTGCATCTTTAAAAGCAGTTAAATTCCTCTTCTCTGCACTAGGAGGCACCTTGAACCTTCCTCTTGGCCCCGAGCAGAGCCCATCTGCTTCCTATTACCTTCCCATAACGCTGCCTCTGGAGCCGGCCAAGGAGCCGGGCTTTCAGGGAATTCTGTCTGCAGCCCCGATGTTGAAATTAGTAACAGTTGTCATCCGCTTCGCTCTTTCTTCTCTTTTTGCTTTATCCCAGCTCGGATTTTAACCCCCCTCCCAGCCCCTTCCTTCCCGTGTGTTTTTGGGGTGGGAAGAGGAGACATCGATGGCTCCGGCGGCATCATTCCCAAAGTCCCCCATCCCGCCCGGGCCCGGCCCACGGGTTCACGCGGCGAAAGCCACCTTGGCACAGGGATCCGGGAGCGTCAGCCGCTCCCGCTGTGCCTGCCAAGGACAACGAATTCCTTGGGAAGGAGCGGATCGGAAGCGGCCCAAGCGAGGGAGGCACGAGACCGGAGAGGTCACGCCGTGCCCGGGGACCTGCCCGCGGCCCCTCCATCCCCCCGTGTCCTGCTGGGCCCTCCCGGCTGGTCTGGGCTCCTCGGCATTGTCCGGTGGCTGCAAAGTGAGGTTATGGAAAACTTGAAACGCGTGGAAGCGGCCGCAGAGTCTCCAGCTCTGTCCTCCTTGCTCCGGGTGCTTCTCCTGCGGGACACGGGCCACCGGGGTCTCGGCAGGGAAGCGCCGCTGGGAAGGGGCCACGTTTTCCCTGCTGTGTGCGGGGAGGAATCGCAGCCGGGCCCTTCCCCCAGCCCGGCTCGCAGGAATTTTGCAGTTGTAATTCCTGACTTGCGCTGCTCCTTCCCCCCAAGGTCAAGGCTGCGGGGTCTTGGCGCCCGCGGTTCCCTCCCGGCTCCTGTTCCGGGGGATGCTGAGGAGCCGGGAATGAAGGGGACGGGCAGAGGGGAGGCGAGGGCACCGGCCCGGCTCCCACAGCGCAGGGTCGCGGAGGGGCGGAGAAAGGACGGGAAACAACGACAGCCTTGAGGAAGCGGGTTCAACAGCTGGAAAACAAGGAAAGTTAGTAGTGTGAAGCCCGGGAGAAAATACACTTCAGCTGAGCAGCTCTCTGCCCGCCGACCTTGGAGCCGTGACAGGATTTAAAGGCTGGAATCTCGAGCTTTAGTAGATGCTGAAAAATGCTGACTTAGGAGAGGGGTGCAGCACGCCCGGCTTTCCTTTCGCCGTCTCCCTTTTCCAGCTCACTTCCCACAGCCCTGGGGGAGCGGGCATAGAACAGCACCCGCTGTGCCTTGCTGTGACTCTGCCCTCTGTGCCACAGCCTGGGGGTCCTGGTGGTGCCAGTTGTCCCTGAGTCAGCAGTGCCCTGGCAGCCAGGAGGGACAACCCTGTCCTGGGGGCATCAGGGAGGGGATTGTCCCGCTCTGCTCTGCCCTGGGGCGGCCTCACCTCAACATTGGGGCAGTTTGGGGGGACACAGTGAAAGGAAGATCTGAAGCCATTCGAGAGTGTCCAAAGGAGGCAACGAGGATGGGGAAGGGCCTTGATTTGAAGCCGTGGGAGGACACTGAGGGCACTTGGTGTGTTCAGCTGGACAAGAGGAGACTGAGGGGAGACCTCACTGCAGTTCCAACTGCCGGGGCAGGAGCAGAGGAAGGGCAGGGACTGAGCTCTGCTCTGGTGGGACCAGGGACAGCACCCAGGGAAGGGCTGGAGCTGTGCCAGGGCAGGGTCAGGTTGGATCTCAGGAAAAGGTTCTTCCCCCAGAGGCTGGTTGGGCACTGCCCAGGCTCCCCAGGGCAGTGGGCACAGCCCCAAGGCTGCCAGAGCTTCAGGAGCGTTTGGATGATCCTCTGGGGCATATGGTGAGACTCTTGGGGATGGACCTGTGCAGGGCTAAGGGTTGGACTGGATGATCCCTGTGGGACCCTTCCAACTCGGTATATTCTGTGATTCTGTGACACTACAGATGTTTCTGTCACCCGGATGTGTCCTCATGGACCCACAGTGCTGATCTCAGCACCCTCATGTCGTGGTGGAACAGGGCAGAATTCCTGCCCAACCCGCTTGCCTCCCCCACTTGCTTCCCTTTACCTGTCACAGGGAAACACAGCAGCCCAAGATGAGACTGAGTTTTTGCCCCATCAGGCAGTTTATTCTCATGGTGGCTCATAGGATGCACAATTTTTGAGGCCACCATTGTGTTGTGTCCAGGCTTTGCAGAAGAAAACCTGGCAAATGGCTCCAGATGTGACTGGGGAGACCAGCCCAAGACCTCACTGATGGTCTTTGACCATTTTTAACTGTAAATAAGCACCTAAGTAAGTAAATAGGCTGTTTAGAATCTCAGTATTTAAAATGTGCAACTCCAAATTGTGATTTAAAGATGAACGTTTCATCCTCCCAGTCACTCTGTCTAGTAGGGAAAAATCATTGACTTAGATTAATGGCTTTAAGCTGAAAGAAGGGAGATTTAGGTTAGATATTAAGAAGAAATTCTTCCCTGTGAGGGTGATGAGGCCCTGGCACAGGTTGCCCAGAGAAGCTGTGGCTGCCCCATCCCTGGAAGTGTCCAAGGCCAGGTTGGATCAAAGGAGCAACCTGGGCTAGTGGAAGGTGTCCCTGCCCATGGCAAGGGTTGGAACAAAATGGGCTTTAAGATCCCTCCCAACCCAAACCATTCTGGGTTTCGATGATAATTATTGGGGCAAGAACCATCTCCCAGATTTCCTCTTACACCTCACCCATGCAGTCTGTGTCCTGTGATGGGTGTTATTCCAGGCCCCCACAGCACAAATTGCATGAATTGCGTAGTAAAGGTGGGAAAACAGAAGTAGAAATAAACTTTCAGGGTTTCAGACTCCCCTGAGGACACGAGGTGATGGGGAGCATGACAGAGCCCAGGAGGAACCAGACTGTGCTCTAGCCAGTTGGTAGCCTTCGCTGTTTAAAACATACAACAGCAGAGCAAGGCAGGGTCTAATAATGCTATTCCAAGTGTTTCCTTACTGGGATGAGGACCACACACATGCCATGGCTGTTGACACCTTTGCAATGAGCACCCTCCTCCCATCTCCAGCCTCATCTTCCCAGCAGCTCAGGAGCGTCTGTCCTGCTTTTCCCAGCCATGCTCCAGCAAGTCGAGATTCAGGATATATTATTTATCTGTCATCTTTGCAAGGAGGTTTATGTTTTGCTACTGGGCTGCTCTGGAGCAGAGCATCACTGCTCAGATATTTGGGATTCTCTGGGCTCTGGTGAGGTATGTGCTGTATTCATCACATACGTCACGGGATCGCTGGATGGAAACAAAACCCACTGGCTTTACACAACTCTCCAGCATGATGTGAGTTTGTATAATTGCCTCAGACTGAGTGGGAATCATCTGCAAGCCAAAAATCTTTCACTGAAGCAATTAGCAAACCATTTTAAATAAAAAATGCAATTGGAATCTCAGGATCCATTTGTGGATGGGGCTGAGGGTGAGTTCACTGAATGCCTTCTTTGTTCTCCATCACTTTTTTATGCTTTGGCCAATACACTCTGGGAGCAAGTGCTCTTCCTTCTGTGCAGTGACAGTCATTAGGGTGTGTTTTAAATCCAGGGAAACCAGTAGAGATGATTTCTTGGTTGCTGCTGATGCTGTTCTTTCCTGCTCCCCTTTAAGAGATCAGGTAACCCAGACCAGGTCACTCTTTGATCTATGCTTCCTTGTGGGTGTTGCCACAGGACAAAGGGTTCCCACTGATTCTGATCTCCTTTCCTCAGGTATAGGGTATATTCCAGCCCTTAGTGCTGCTGTTGGAGCAGTGCTGGCAGAGCCCCTGGGTGTGCAGTGTCCCTGGAGCAGGACAACGTGGTTTTGTGCTGTGAGCTGATGTGGTTAATTATGGCTGCTTTCACTTTCCATCCTGTCCTCCTCTTTTGCACTCTTTCCATCTCACTCCTCCAAGATTGGGCTTTCCTCATTCCTGAACCCCGTGTTCTCCCTCATATCCTTCTCTCTCTTTGTGTCTCTCAGTTGCTTCCCTCATTCCTGCACCCCATGTTCTCCCTTGTGTCCTTCTCCTCCATCGTTTGTCTGTCCCATTCAAAGCTTTTATTCCTGCACCCCACGTTCTTCATGTCCTTCTCCTCTATCCTTTGTCTCTCCCTTTCTCTCTCATTCAAGGCTTTCCTCAGTCCTGCACCCCGTGTTCTCCCTCGTGTCCTTCTCCATCTTTTTTCCCTTTGTCCCTCCCCTTCAAGGCTTTCCTCATTCACCCTTCACCCCATGTTCTCCCTCACATCCTTCTTGTCCATCCTTTGTCTGTCCCATTCAAAGCTTTTATTCCTGTACCCCACGTTCTCTGTCGTGTCTTTCTCCTCCATCCTTTGTCTGTCCCATTGCAGGCTTTCCTTATCCCTGCACCCCGTGTTCTCCCTGGTGTCCTCCTCCTCCATCCTTTTTCTCTCCCACTCACTCACCCCACCCTCTCCTCCGCAGGGGCAATGCCTGAGGTCCGGATTAGCCCGTGCTGACCCCGCTGTGCTGGCCCAGGCCCCTGCAGGGACACTCCGGCCTCGCTGCCCTGGGAAGAGCACAGAGTGGTCAAGGATGCCTGCGGAGGGACCGAGCACTCCTGTCTCCACATAAGCAGTGCCTGAGGGAGAGACATGTTGGGACAGCGCCCTCCCAGCTGGCACAATTCTCCCTGCACTGAGACAAGCAGCGCTGACCATGGCAGTGGCTTGGAGGCTTCTCATGTGGACTGTCATCCTCGCTGCGGCCGTGGGCACCTTCCCTGTTTACACCTTCCAGTCACAAGGTAGGAATCGGAGTTGGGAGGGGAGCTGGGTCCACCCACTGCTGCTGGCACAAACCCTGCTGCTGCCCCGGGAAGTGCTGGGGTAACGTGCTGAGGAGTGGACGGAGATACCTCCACCCCTGCTGCACTGCTCCGGAGCTGCTCCTGCTGCATGTCCTATGTTTTCCATTGCCCTGCAAGGAAAGGATGTGTTTTTTTTCTTGGATGGGACTTTTTGCAGAATTCAGAGCAGTCAGGTCTGTGCAGGGCAAGAGCCACAACAGGCTTAGGAAAGGAAGGCGATGTGGTGACAGCAGGGAAGCTCCCCTTCCACTTGGGTGGAGCAGCGCATCCTTGGATGAGTAGAAGCTTAGGAGGGTTGTGTGTGTGCAACCAGCAGGTCCTTGGTGTGTGCAGGAATGGAGGGCAGTGCTGGAGCACCCAAACCGTCTGCCCAGCTGAACCTGGACAGGCCTGTGCTGCTGGAGGAGCAGTTTTAGTGTGGACACATGTTTCTGTAAGTGATACCGGTAGTAACTGCTCAAACCTGCTCAGGCGTGAGCACTTTGTACCCATCTTGTGTGTCTGTGTGGGATTGTTGGGGTGTCCTGTGCAAGGCCATCAGTTGGACTCCATGATCCTGATGAGTCCCTTCCAACTCAGCATATCCTGTGATTCTGTAATGGTCTTGTGTTTAAATACAGAGTCACACAATGTGTGACTGCAAGGAAAGCAGAATTTGGGTCTCTTGTACCTGGATTTGTGCTTTTGTGTCTGATTTTATTCCAGGTTAGGAGTGAATGGACTGGAAAGTGAGGTGGGCTGGTTTGTGCCAGCCTAGAGTACAAAACAGCACAGGCAGGTAGCACAGGGTAGTTAAACTACTTAGTGCTACTATTTTTATGATCATTTTTTAAGAAGTTTTAAGAACTCCCATCAGGCACCAGAGGTGAGAAGGAAGAGCTCTGAAATCAGACATTTATCAGTGCAAGGTGTTAAAACTTACTTAGGCAGCCACAATCCTGACATCTGACGTGTGCCCAGATCAATCCCAGCAGGGTGAAAGTGGGTGGCATTCCCTGGCTGGAGCCAGGTGACATTCCCTGAGCAGTGTAGGATGGAGTTACCGTGTCCATGGGTTGTCTTGTGAAGCAGAACTGGAAAGAGGGACAAAGGCAGCCAAAACCCCACACCATCCTGGGGCTGGGCACCATCTCAGTGCTGCCTGTGGAGGCAGCACAAGGAGAAACAACCAAACCCTGCTTTGCAAAGTTATACAGGCAGATTTTCTTTTAAAAAGTCACCCATTTTCTGGTCCTGTTGGCCAAAGGCTCTGGCAGTTCCTGGGGGGACTGTTCTGGGTCTGGCAGTTCACACCTCCCTCCATGTGCAGCCCCACACTCTGACAGGGATGGTGCTGCCAGATCACCCCCATCCTGACTCACAGCACCCCAGACCCTCCCTGGGCACGAGTCCCCACTGTTTGTTAATATACCTCATTCTAAACCCAAGGGCTCTCCAAAATTAGTGCATTTGTGCTTTCCTAAATGCCCTGAGCTGGCCAGGGGATGAGCCTTAGCCCATGACGTTGTTGGGAGTGTGGTGGTCCCAGGGATTGCAGTCTGTCCCCTCCCCAGTCCCTGTCCAGTCCCAAGGGTCACAGAATCACAGAATTTACCGAGTTGGAAGAGTCCCACAAGGACCATCCAATCCAACCCTTAGCCCTGCACAGGCCCATCCCCAAGAGTCTCACCATTTGCCCAAGAGGATCATTCAAACGCTCCTGAAGCTCTGGCAGCCTTGGGGCTGTGCCCACTGCCCTGGGGAGCCTGGGCAGTGCCCAACCAGCCTCTGGGGGAAGAACCTTTGCTGAGATCCAACCTGACCCTGCCCTGGCACAGCTCCAGCCCTTCCCTGGGTGCTGTCCCTGGTCCCACCAGAGCAGAGCTCAGTCCCTGCCCCTCCTCTGCCCCTGCCCAGGAATTGGAACTGCAGTGAGGTCTCCCCTCAGTCTCCTCTTGTCCAGCTGAACACACCAAGTGCCCTCAGTGTCCTCCCACGGCTTCAAATCAAGGCCCTTCCCCATCCTCGTTGCCTCCTTTGGACACTCTCCAATGGCTTCAGATCTTCCTTTCACTGTGTCCCCCCAAACTGCCCCAATGTTGAGGTGAGGCCGCCCCAGGGCAGAGCAGAGCGGGACAATCCCCTCCCTGATGCCCCCAGGACAGGGTTGTCCCTCCTGGCTGCCAGGGCACTGCTGACTCAGGGACAACTGGCACCCACCAGGACCCCCAGGGCCCTTTCCCAGCACTGCTTTCCAGCCTCTCATTCCCAGTCTGTCCATCCGAGGTTTCCCCATCCCAGAATCCAGCACTTCCCCTTGTTCTTCACATGGTTGGTCACAGGCTCATGGGCCCCTCTTGCTGTCAGAGGCCTGTTTTAGTCTCCTGCATCCAAAACAGTGTTGGTGTTACTCAACACTTCACCACACTGCTGAGACAGTCAGGACATAATCCCCACAACACCTTCTCAAGAGAGTGAAATGCTGTTATCTCCTCTGAGCAGTTGGAGAACAAAGGCCAGTGTTTTCAACAAGCCCCTGATCTCCACTGAGTGACTGTCCCCAGTCAGCAGCAGCAGGACTCATGTGCCCTGTGTGCACACGACTCCAGGTCGGGGTATTTGCTTTATGCAGGAGAAAGATTAAGGTATCATAGTCATGAGCTCTAATTATCTTTATGGGAAACAGCAGCTGGTGTTGAGGCCTCTGCAAGCCCAGGAAGTGTAACGAGGTTCCAATGTAACCGTGCAGGGAACAGCAGCTGAAATCATTGGAACAGCTTGTCCAGAGCAGCTGTGGCTGCCCCATCCCTGGAAGTGTCCAAGGCCAGGTTGGACAGGGCTTGGAGCAACCTGGGCTAGTGGAAGGTGTCCCTGCCCATGGCAGGAGGTGGGACTCGATGGACTTTAAGGTCCCTCCCAACGCAAACCATTTTATGATTCCACAATTGTGTGAATTGACCATGGATCCAGCATGTGCTCACCAGAGCTGAGTGGTTTTTGATCCAAAGGGAATTTTCTGTTAGGTCCTTAGTTTAACTACAGTGATAGATCAGACATTCCCATTTTATGGAACATTAGGTGGGGCTGATCTTACTGTTCCTGGTTACTTGTAAACCAGTGGACCCTTGAAGGACATAGTGAGGCTGCCACAGTGCTGGGGCAGCCTGAAGCCAGGGGATTCCAGAGGACTTTCCACAGCCATCCCTTGGGAATCATGTCTGGGCTGCAGCTGGGGTTCCTCTTTGGTGACAAGACCAAAGAAAACATCTGCTTCCTCTACATCCTTGAAGCAGCTCAGTCATGAGTGAGGCAATGGTGAGGACACAGGAGGGAATAAAATCCTCCCTCCTCACCTTTCCTTCTTCTTCTGTTTATTCAGCTTCCCCCTCTGCCTGCCCCGTGCCCTTTCCCTTCTTCTGCCATCCCTGCTCTCTTCCCACCAGAAATGGGACAATGAGGTACCTCTGCCCACATCCCATCCCTCCTCCTCCCCAGCTTTCTCCCTTGCTCTCTCCCAGGAGGTTTGTGGTCCTTCAGGGGTGCCCAGTGTCCCACACAGCCATGGGCAGGTTTTCCTGGAGAAAGGCTTTTTATAGCCTCTCTTCCACAGCAATTTGACAGGTCTCTGCAGACACCAAGTGCTTATCTCCAGTGCAGACCCTTCTGGTCCAGTGGATGCAGCAGAGCTCAGGCCAAGGTCTATTCATGGAGTGTGAAGTGGCTGAGGGTCAGAGGGCACCTGACAGAAGGGCCAAATGGAACTCCCAGTATGGTCTGTAATGTGGGGAGTGATGGAGAAATGAGGGATTTGGGGAACATCTGTGATGTAGGATGGAGTAGACAGGGTTGGGGAGTAAGAGATCTAAACCTCTTAGAGACTAAATTAATATTTTACATTTTTAGAGAAGAGGAGGAGGCAACTGTGACACTGGGTGGGGACAGTGACATCTTTCCTGTGTTGAAACTCTCTCTTCATTATCAACACTCTGCATGACTGTCAGCAGAACCTTCATGTATATAACATTAGATATTGGGAATATTAGATCTAGATTGGATATATGGAAGAAATCCTTCCATGTGAGGGTGGTGAGGCCCTGGCACAGGTTGCCCAGAGAAGCTGTGGCTGCCCCATCCCTGGGAGTGTCCAAGGCCAGGTTGGACGGGGCTTGGAGCAACCTGGGCTAGTGGAAGGTGTCCCTGCCCTTGGCAGGGGGTGGAATTAGATGATCTTTAAGGTCCCTTCCCAGCAAAACTATTCCATGATTCTATCTTTGGTTATTTTTTCCATTTGTGGCATTCCCACTCAAAGGCATCACTTCCTAAAACATTCCTGTGACCAGGATACTGTTCCTAGGCTCTCCCTGTCCTTCATTTCCCAGGGTGACATCCCTGAGAAGATGCACAGTGACCAACACCACAACACAATCAGATTCTCACACACAACTTCACCCTCAGGCTCTGGACACCTTTTTTCCTCCTAGATACGCTTCCAGGTCAGGATCAGAGACTCCAACCCAGGCTCCTAGGACCTTTGTAGCCACAGCATGCACAAACCTCCTTCTGATTCACTCTTTTTCAAGCCCACATGGGCTACAAAGAGGGAAAAAGAAAAACAAGGCACTTCCCGTAACAAATTTTTCCAAGCCTGAAGTCATTGCTGAAGTGCAAATAGTCACCCTTGTTTGCATCACAGGGGATGCAGGAGAAGCTGGAGCACAGGAAGTTAAAAAACTAATAATTATTTCTGGCTTGTTGAGGCAAGGGAGAGGTGCCAGAAGTGCTCATGGTACGGAAGGAGGAGCCAGGAGAAATGCAGCCACCCTGAAGCAGCCTGTTTGCTTAGGAAGCAACTCCAAATAGGTGCAGAAAGCACAGCAAGGCTCTTCCAGAATGAACAGAGGGTTCAGGACACTTAAGACCTCCAGACACGAGGGGTTCAGAAAACACAGTGTGGGGGAGAAGCTGTCCTGCCCAGCACACGATATTTTACATTTCCTACTGAAGCCTGTGGTGCTGAGGGCTGTCAGAGACAGCTCAGATCCAGCCTTGCAGTCCCTGGGACATTTTCCTTTGAAAAGGAGGGATTTCTGGGGAGGTTGTTCAGTGCCAAGTTGTTTGACAGGCAGAACTGTTGCATTACCAGGCAGATAGGTCAGACAGTGACCTTGCAGAGCACATTTCAGAGCACTACAGGACAGGCCCAAAGTTCAAGTGCCCCAAGAGAAGGTGCTAAGCCATGCTGATATGATAAAAAATATCACAAATCCAGTGAACTGGGAAGGCAGGATGGTACCACAGACAGAGACCTGGCCGAGGAATAGAGATGTCTGACTTCTTTTCTTGCTGCCTTTTCAGCCCAGCTGGGGAATTCCGGTTGCCCTCTTTCTTCTTTTGATAGTTACCCTCTTTCTTGCTTTGGTATCAAGGTTGGCACTACAAGGACAGTGGCTTTATGCTCCTCAGGAGGATGCCCAGGACCTCCTGCACCGAGGCAGCTGTGACTGGGGAGGTTGGTGTGGTGCTGTGATTGTGTGAGTTATCAGCTGGCAGGTCCATTTGGCAGCTGTAGATGTTCTGAGGAACCCACAGTTCCTCAGCAAGACTGATATTGTCACCCCAAGGCTTGTTCTGGTTCATTTTGAGGAGACCTTATTGCTGGGTTTGTTACTGAAATGATCCAGTTAAAATAACCCTCCAAACCACAGAGTGTAGCTCTGCACAGCCTGGAGTCCCTCTGCCCAGTGGAGATGGAGGATGGATGGATGGAGGGATGGATGGATGGAGGGATGGATGGATGGATGGATGGATGGATGGATAGATGGATGGATGGATGGATGGGGGATAGTCCAGGACCAGAGCCAGGTCCTGAAGGGCCCCTTTACATCATCTGCAGAGGAAGAAAATTAGACTCCATAGTGTTGCTATCCCAAGGCTCTGTGGGCTGCAGAGCTTTGGGAGTATCCCAAGGATCCTGCAGCCTGGGCAGAGCACACCCTGTGTGTCAGGCCCCTGTGCTGCCTGTGGCTGTGCTCGACGTCACTGGGTGTTTGACTCAGGCTGTCCTTGCAGAACATCATTCCTCTGTGTTTCCTTCCCTCCCCAGAGGAGTTCCTCTCCAGCCTGGATCACTATGAGATCGCCTTCCCCATCCAAGTGGACCAAAACGGGGACTTCCTCACCTTTGACATGCGGAGGCAGCTGAAGCCGCGGCCCCGGCGCAGCCTGGGCTCCCTGGCCTACGAGCCCTCCGAGCAGCAGGTCTTCTACAAAGTCTCTGCCCACAGGACCCAGTTTCTGCTCAACCTGACCCTGCACTCCAACCTGCTGGCTGAGCACTTCACTGTGGAGTACTGGAAGCGGGATGGCATGGACTGGCAGCACGACTTCCACGAGGACTGTCACTACGCTGGCCACCTGCAGGACCAGTACCTGAGCTCCAAGGTGGCCATCAGCAACTGCAACGGGCTGGTGAGTGTCTGTGCTTGGCAATGCCGACAACTAATTGCAACCTCTTTGATCTCTGCAACCAGCTGTGTGTCCCAGCAGGTGGGTCCATGCGCTGGGAAAGGTCTGGGATTGGTGTCAAGCGGGAATATTGCACCAGTGTCCAAAATGGGTGGAAGGTGCAGACAGGACACCCCTCATCACATCTCCAGGGGTTCCTCATCCCTGTTCCACTTGCAGTCCTCTCCCTGCCAAAGGCAGTGGGCATTCTTCCACTGATTTTAATTGGAATGGGATAATCCAGGCTCTAGACTGTTATTCTGGCTCTCGAAGAGCTCTCCCCTCCCCTTCCAACAGCAACAGCAAAAAATGTTTTGCATGTGCTGAAAGAAAGGGAGAAGTGCAGGAGGACAGGAATTTCACAGCACCACTGGAATGTCAAAAGTGCATTGAGGTCCTTACAAGTGTAGATAGATTCCTGGGGTTCCCAGGCTTGATTTCAGGAGCTAAAAATGTGAATTATGTAGGAAAAACTGAAATAATCAGGTTTTCAGTATGAAAAAGAGAACAACAAAGATGCATTCCTCAAAGCCAGCAAGGCTGCTGGAAGGAGGGTGGGAATGATTGATTTTGCAAGTCTTAACAGCTTATAAAAGACATCATGGTCCTAAATATCAGTAAGAAAAGCTTAATGGTAACATCAGTGGTAAGGTTAGCTGAGGTCTGGACTAGATTGCTTGGAGAGTGGGAGATCTTTGGAGATCTTTAAGAACAGGCCAGATAAATGCCTCTCAAAAATCCTCCAGGTATGATTCATTACTTCTTCCAGTGCTGGGAATAGACTAAGGACTTCCATCCCTATTTTTCTGTGATTTTTCTGATATTTCTGGCTCCTAAAGCACATTTCATGACCTGCCAGATGGAGGGATGGAGCAAACATACCCCGTTAGTGAATCCCAAGGCTGATGGCTCCCTTGGAGGGATAACATGTAGAAAAAGACTCTGTAGGCCAGACTCATATTTAGGCTCCAGCCCCACCTCTGAGCACTATTCTGGCAGTGTGGAAGAGCATCCAAATGGGAATGAATTCACGTTTGATTTATTGCTAAATTACACTGCCAGAACAGTGCTGTGGGTTATTAACAGAAATGAGAATCTGACTCATTATATCATAGAGTCTAATGTTTCCACCTCACAGCCAAAACTCAGAGCTGCATAAACTCCTGGTTCCCTTTGTTTAGACATGGGAACTCTGCTCAAGTCCCAGACAATTCCCTGGTGTTCTCAAAGGCACTGGGGGGTGAGCTGGATGCTGCTGGATCCGGAGGGATCTGGCATCACCCTTCCCACTTCAGAGGGCAAGCAATGGCCCAGCAGCACTTTGAACTGGGATAATTCAGTCCACAGGCTGTGTTTAGCCCTGGAGAGATACCAAGGGCTGTCTGGAGGAAAATGCAGCCAGGCACAAAGAGGGACTGAGGGTCATCCAACAATGTCTCCTTTTCCTGAGCTCTGTCCCCCTGCCCCCGAGAGCTGTGGACATCAGGGAGGGTGGGGGAGGAGGTCTGCTGGGTCAGTGAGGACAACAGGGTTGGGAATTTGGGCAAGAGGAGCCTGGAATGTTTGTAGCTGGCAGAGAGGGAGCCGTGCTTACACCAGAGACCTTTGGTAGAGCTCTGGTTGCTCAGTAACAGCTGATTCACTCGTGCCACAGCGTGCTCATCCACAGCGTGCTCAGCTTCAGGCAGGAATCATCTGCTTTGGAGGGGACGGGCAGGGACAGAAGAGGGTCCCCAGTGGCTGAGGAGTCCAGGTTCGTGTTCCTGCTGTTGAGGGGTGACTGCACAAGGTGACCCATGTTTGCAGACCCGGCTCACTGAAGCTGCCCAGAGGGTTGTGGTGTTGAAAGGACACAAGCAGGAACCAGGTGCTGGTTGTGGGGTGAGCTGTGCACGAGGAGGAGGGAAAGGGATAATTGTGTCCAACACAAAGCTGAGAAAATGGTAATGAGCCCTTAGCCATCCTCCTGTCCTCCAACTCCCACATCCCTCAGGAATTTCTGTGTCTGCAGGGTGCACCACTAAACTGCTTTGTTTTCAAACACCTCTGACACAACCCTCACCTCGCAACACATCAGCTTTGGATGCCAGTGTCTGGGCATGTCTTCCCAATATCCAGACATGCTCCCACTGTTTTTCTAGACCATAGGCCTGAGGGCACTTGGGCAGAGAGGCTCACCCCACACATCTCCCATGGAGGGCGAGCTGGGCTGGGCTTCAGGCTGAGCTTCAGGGGAAGCCACCCAGGCTTAAATTCACAGAATCACAGAATATCCTGAGCAGGAAGGGACCCACAGGGATCATCAAAGTCCAACCCCTGGCCTTGCCCAGGACACCCCAACAATCCCACCCTGTCCCTCAGAGCGTTGTCCAAACCCTCCTGGAGCTCTGGCAGCCTTGGGGCCGTGCCCACTGCCCTGGGGAGCCTGGGCAGTGCCCCAGCACCCTCTGGGGGAAGAACCTTTCCCTGAGATCCATCCCAACCCCCTGGCACAGCTCCAGCCATTCCCTCAGGTCCTGTTCCTTGGTTCCCATTGTTTAGACATGGGAACTCTGCTCAAGGCCCAGGCAATTCCCTGGTGTTCTCTAAGGGACTGAGGCTGTTGGTTCCTTATCTATAAACATATAAAATGTTATTCTTCACCAGAGTATCTTTACTATACACATATATTTATATTTTTGCAACAACCCTTATGATTTTGACATAAAACAAAGCCATAACAAATTTTTCCTTACACAGATAGAACTTGTTTTGGGTTACTTTTGACCACAGAAGGGTTTGGGTTGGAAGAAACCTTAAAGCTCATCCAGTCTCACCCCCTGCCACTCACTTCCACTAGCCCAGGTTGCTCCAAGCCCTGTCCAACCTGGCCTTGGACACTTCCAGGGATGGGGCAGCCACAGCTTCCCTGTGTTTGCTGAAATCGTGTTTTCAGCTGAAGAGCCCCCCCTGGGCCCAGCATGGACACAAATGCTTGGAGCAAGGCAGAGATGGTCCCTGCTGAGGCAAACAGCTCCTGTGTCTGTATGAGGAGCTGGAAGAGCCGAATCCCAGTGTGAGGTTGTGCTTTTCTGAACCGTGGTTATAACTAAGAACACAAACCGTCCTTGCTCTGCAGTTGACCTGGCTGAATCACGGACAGGATATCCAGTTTAGCTCCCCCACAAACCACAGGGATCTCCCTGAGGACTTCTCACCACCCCCTTTCACCAGGCCTGTGTCATGTCCAGCATCTGGACCTCAGAGCTGGGTCCTTGGGGTCACCCTCCCAGGATATCCAAGCTTCGTGGCGGGAGGTGGTGGTTTGAGGCTCCAGGTTTAAGTCAGAACATCCCTTTTGCAGCAGGACATGGGTTTGGGGCAGGAATTGCTCTTCCCCCTTGGTGCTCTGCCCCAGGCTGGTGGTGACCTCCTCCTCCCCGGCCCTCGGAGCCGACAGCCAGCTGGCTCTGCTGCCGGCACTCAGCTTTCCGCCGGAGCCCTGGCCAGGGTAACCTCACAGTACCTCACTTGTGTTTGAGAAGGTGGAGCCCAGCCAAGAGCAACAGAGCCTGGGGCAGGAGGAAATCCCCCGGCACTGGGGGTTTGGGGGCTTTGCCATGCACACACTGCCCCAGTTGAGCTCTGGGAGGGAGGGAGAGGGGCAGAGCCCGGCTGAGCTGGGAGGGTCCATCCTAGAGAGGCTTCCCCCAGAACACCCTCCACAGTGCTGTTACACAGGTGGGACCTTCCGTTCAAGGGCCTCAAGGGGTTTTACAGACACCGACTTCTCCTCTCTCTGCCACAGAATCCCAGAATATGCTGAGTTGGAAGGGACCCACAAGGATCATCCAGTCCAACCCGTGGCCCTGCACAGACACCCCAACAATTCCACCCTGTGCCTTTCAGGATCATCCAAATGCTCCTGGAGCTCTGGCAGCCTTGGGGCTGTGCCCACTGCCCTGGGGAGCCTGGGCAGTGCCCAACCAGCCTCTGGGGGAAGAACCTTTTCCTGAGATCCAACCTGAGCCCGCCCTGACACAGCTCCAGCCCTTCCCTGGGTGCTGTCCCTGGTCCCACCAGAGCAGAGCTCAGTCCCTGCCCCTCCTCTGCCCCTGCCCAGGAATTGGAACTGCAGTGAGGTCTCCCCTCAGTCTCCTCTTGTCCAGCTGAACACACCAAGTGCCCTCAGTGTCCTGACATGGCTGCAAATCAAGGCCCTTCCCCATCTCTGTTCCCTCCTTTGGACACCCTCTAATGGCTTCAGATCTTTCTTATATTGTGTTCCCCGAAACTGCCCCAGTATTGCAGGGGAGGCCACACCAGTCCTGGCAGAGCAGGGCTCCTGTTCCCTGGGCACAGAGGGAGATTTTAAAGTGCTGTGACATCCAAAGTGCTGTGACATCCAAAGGACAGCATCAGCGCTGAGCTGGTGGCAGGGCAGGGGTGTCTCTGCACACAGGGATGATCACTCTCCACCTCTGCTTGCACACAGGGAGTGGGAGGACAGCCAGGTAACATGGGTCTTGGGCGTTTGGGATCATGCCTGAGCCATGCCAGGTGTATTTCTGTGCCTTGGTTGCTTGGTGGTGAAGTTCAGCTGGTGGCACAACCACTTTCCTTGGAGTTATTGGGAGATTCAGGAGTTGTTACAGTGATAGAGCTCATGTTGTGCTTCCAGAAACTTTTTTGGTTGCTCAGACCTTTCAGGTAAGGGGAAATCTTGCTGTGAGGATGGGACTGGCTGCAGAGGAGAGATCTTGCAAGTAGCTGGTGGGTTTGGCTGCTCACCCCACTGGGATCTGCTCCTGCCTGGTCATCAGTGTCTCACAAGTGGCTCCACTCAGAGAGAGCAAAGTCTGGGCTCACAGCTGAAATTCAGTCAGTCAAAGAATAAAAAAACCCAAACAAATAAGGGAGCAGAAACAAGATCATCTGACTGAGGTAGCCAGTCTGAGGTGTACAAGGTGAACAACCCAGGTTCCAGGCTGCAGAGGAGGGTTGTGGCTCCTGCTCGTTGCCTCCCTGCTTAATCAGACTTTGGATTTTAAAGATTTGGTGTGTTTCTCAAAAGCCTCTGAGTATTCACACTTCTCTGCAGCTCTGTGCCCCAGTTCCCAGCTGGTGGGAATGGTCCTGAGCTGCTTTGGAAGGTTCTCAGGTGAAGCTGAAGGCACAGGAGGCAGGTCTCACTGCTGAGCTGTGCTGCAGTTTCAATGTATGGTATTTAGGATCGCACAGGCAGCTCTCAATGAGACTGAGTGGGTGGAATAAGAAACAACTCATTCATAATTTTGCAAAGAAAGGCTGTGATTTCCAGAGGACTTTAATGAACACAGATGTCTCAAGGCATCCAGGACCATCTGGCTGGGTTTTCTCTGCTCTGTATGTTCATACAGTTCAGAGCTTGTGTGTGAATGAAGGATTCCTTCACATCCTCCAAAGTATTTATCAGTCCCCAGAAATTATGGAGTTGATTTACAGAAAGCTCATTATGAGAAGCCACCAATTCAACCCCCAGTTCTCTCTCCATCTCTTTTATTGCCTTCCCTCTCTCTCTCTTTCCTTCTGCAGCACGGGGTGATCGTGGCAGATGAGGAGGAATATTTCATTGAACCCCTGAGCCCTGGAGCCAACGTCAGCACGGGGGGAGAGGGCAAGGGCAGCCCCCACGTCGTGTACAAGAGATCATCTCTCCAGTACCCCCACATAGACGCAGCCTGTGGAGTGCTAGGTACCTGTTCCCACCAACACCCCCTCAAGCCATCCCAGAAAAGGCTGGGAATGTCCTGTCAGACCAGGATTTGAAGGTGCACACTGCTCTAGGTGTCAAAGAACCAAATTCATCTACATTCAAGAAAGATTTCTGTTTACTTTGACCCATGCTGAGCACTTCCGGTGGCCTGGTCTTTGGAAAGGTCTTGTGCTCTCCTCTTCACAGCAGGGCTTTTAATTGTGTAAATTGATCATGGGATAGAAGAGAGAAAAGTCCACCTGTTATTTTTACTCAGAAAAATCCTCCCAGATTTGGTCAAGTTACCATGTATTGAGAAATCACAGCTTACACATGCTCAGCAGAGACTTGCCTTTGGTTTTCAGCCACTGCAGGTTGTGTCCATGCTGAGATAACTCTGCTTCTGTTGGAGACCAGGTGGAAAGATGCCTTGGGGGTGGGATGTGGGACCTGGTTGGTCACAGACGATGTTTACAAGGAATGGTAGCTGTACTTCTACCCCATTTCTACACCTGCAAACCTCTGACTCCCAAAGGGACTCACAGGTCTGTCCTGGCCTCTCCACAATTGCCCTTCTCATCATCTGTGTCCCAGAGTGTGGCTGAAATCCCTGTCCTTGGGAATAGACTCCATCTACCCAAAATGTTGCAGGCACACAGGATGCCTCTCCCTCAGTTTACAGAGGTAAACTTCCTGGCTCTATAAGGATGAGAGGCCATCCCTGCAGAGGGGCTGGATGGCTTTCTGTGGATCAGTTTGGGGGGACAGAGCAGAGCTCTCCCCTGCTGCTCCTGGAGGTTTATGTGTCCCTTCAGGGTGTTCATTCACTGCCTCAGTGGTGACACTTAACCAGATGAGGGGTCACTGCTGGAAGGGGTGGGACACCTGGAGACACGGGGGCACTGCCACCCTGCTCTGGGCAGCTCTGAGTGTCCCCAGACCCACCAGCATCTCTGGAGACACTCTGTATTTCCCTGGCCCAGCTCCTCCCATCCCAGCTCCCAAAGCTGGGACAAAGTGCCAGCAGACTCCCCTTCTGTTGACTCTGTGCCACATTCCCCAGCTTCCAGAAAAAAAAAATTTAGCCTGCTCCTAATTGCTTCTTGGAAAGCAAAGTCCGTGCAGTGGGAGCCATGGGGCAAACACAGTTCAGAACAACCACAGTGCAGCTGGCTCAGCAAAGCCACCCAGGCTGGACCTGTCCTCACCTGAGCACCCCCATGAGCTCCTGGGATGAGCCAGAGGAGCTGGAGCTGGCAGGTTGTGGGGCTGCCTGTGATCTGCCCGTCTTCCCAGTCTGGTAGATGTTTGATGATCCAGCATTAGAGCAGAGGAAGGGGATTCTGGCAGGGTAGGAGGGTGGCTGTGGTCTCCCAGTCAGCTCTTCTGCCCTGTGGTGGTCTCCAGGCTGAGGGATTGGAGCTTATGACCCTACTGGAACCCTCCCTAGGGTCAGGTCAGCAGCACTTGGAGTCTGAAGCAAAGTCCTACAAATCTGCTGCTGCTGCTTTGGAGGCTGCAGCCATTTCTGTGGAGGAAAAGCTAAGTCCTAAATTGAGGTCCCGGCAGGAAAAGGAAAGAGGAAATGATCAGCAGTGGCTTTATTTTCAGGTTATATCTGTGCAGCCTTTAAATCCACTCTGGGACAGAGGTGAGGGCAGGGCTGGGCACATGGATGTGTGTGGGGATATGGTGGGATGGGCACACACTCCCTGGAAGCAGGAGGGGGCAGAAGGGGGCAGGAGGAGGCAGGAGGGTGCATGTGGTGCCAACAGGGCTGGCAGGAGCACAGGGACAGCCCTGGGCTGCAGTGGGGCATTTGCTGGGTCCACATGAAGAGCCCCACAATGGTCTTTCCTCTCCCCTCATGCTGCACATCCCAGACCTCTGTGAGCTGCCGAGTTGCTGCTGGAGGGCAACAGGAACATCTCTTTCCCTCCTCAGATGAGAAGCCCTGGAAGGGGAGGCACTGGTGGCTGAGGACACTGAAACCCTCCCCTCTGAAGCCAGCGGGCAACCACAGCCAGCGGGGGCAGCTGCCCCTCAAGAGATCCGTGAGCACCGAGCGCTACGTGGAGACCCTGGTGGTGGCCGACAAGATGATGGTGGGGTACCACGGCAGGAGGGACATAGAGCAGTACATCCTGGCCATCATGAATATTGTAAGTGTTATAACCACACCAGGAACGTGAGGGGGACTCAGACACACACCCAGCAATGACTCCTGTTCATCACCCCCAATGTCTGGGCTTGGCAGAGGGTGCTGTGTGTTTTTCCTGCAAGAAAAGTGGGGTGGGAACGCAGTGGGGGAATCAGATCTGTTCCAGGAGGACAGCGGCTTCTCCTCGTGCTCAGAGCAACAGTTTTGCGTCAAAAATCCTGACATGCTGCTGCTGCAGATGAGCAGTGGTGCCCCAGAGCCTGCAGGGCCTCTGTTGTAAAGGAGAGGCACCACAGGAGAGGCAAACTCTGGCCTGTCTGAGCTCACCACGGGCCAGATCTGCGCTGGGAGAACAAAGGCCTTTCTTTGAACAGCATCTCTCATCTCAAATTAGCATTGCAAATAGGGCCAGCCAAGCTGAGAAACACATGGGAAAGCATAAGGACAGTGAGCTCTCACGCCTGGGGGCTGAGCAGCGTGAGGGGTCGGCAGAAACACCCTCCTTCTTCCACACCACACTGCCCGTGCCCCTGGGCTTGGGTCATTGCTGGTGGCAGGATACCAGGCTGGCTGCATTAACAGCCTGAATTGGCCACGCTGAATCCTCCTGTGAGGTGAGATGGGCTTGGAAATTATCCATCAATCCTCTGAAAGCCCCTCTGTGATGGCCCTTTGTCCTGTCCTCCACAGGATCTCCTTTCATGGCTCGATCTGTTTGCATTTCTAAAGCAGACGCCAGCTTTTAAAACAATAGCGGTTCTAACTGTTTCATCTGCTCTGACACACCAACCGTGTGCTGGCAGATTTCTCAGAGATGCTGTGCCTTTCCCTCAGCAGAGCTTCATCCTTGGGGCTGAGCGATTCCATGGTCGTGGGGCTTCCCCTCCTGAGCTCCAGGCAAGGAGCAGGTGCTGGGGGATCATCTTCCCTGCTGAGTGTCCCCAGAAGGAGACACCAAAGTCTCTCCCTTGTTTTTTCAAGCCTGGTAGTGAAGTCTGTGGGAATTTAGGCTTTTCCCTAACTGCCAAAGGGGAGTTTTTGTTCAGATCCCACAGCCCTGATTCTACCCACAGGGCCCAACCGAGGGCTCACCCCCTGATTCCAGTGCCACCCAGCCAGAGAGCTCATTTTTAAGACTCCTCTTTTCTTGTTTCTTGGAGGTCAGGTTGCCAAACTTTTCCAGGACTCGAGTCTGGGCAATATTGTCAACATCCTGGTGACCAGGCTAATTCTCCTCACCGAGGACCAGGTAAGCTGAGCTTTGCTGGACCATTTCCATCACATGTCTTCACTTTCTTTGTGGGTCTGTGTGTTCCCCTTGGATTTCACCTCCAGGAAACCTCCCCTGTGCAGCCTGTTGGCTGCTCCACATCCTCCTAAAGGCACCTGGGGACTGGGTTCAGGCCATGGGCTGAGGAGACCTCAGGGACTCTGAGGATTTTTTCTATGATAAGGTGACTTTAGGGAAGTTTAGGTAGCTTTAGTCCTCCTAAAGTCACATTTTGCCTGCTTTCTGTGTAAAGTGGGGGCATCTAGACTGGTGTCAGTGCTCTGCTGGAGTGGAATAGGCAGTGCCTTCACATCAGAGCTCTCCTGGGAACACGCTGTCATGTTGCTTCCATTCCAGCCCACACTGGAGATCAACCATCATGCTGGGAAATCCCTGGACAGCTTCTGCAAGTGGCAGAAATCCATAGTGAACAGGAATGGCAATGGGAATGCTATCCCTGAGAACGGCATAGCCAACCACGACACTGCAGTGCTGATCACCAGGTGAGGCTGAGCCCAAGCCCACACCCAGCAGGGCTGTCCTTCATGTTGTCCTCTCTGGGGTTGTCCTCTGGGCATCTGTCTGTCCTCTGGGCATGTATCTGTCCTCTGCCTCTGTCCAAATGGATCATCCAAGGCTTCCATCCCCCACGAATGGCCTGGCAGTGGCCATCCTTCAGTCTGGCCATGTGCCAATTCCCTCAGAGGGATGTGGATTATTGCAGTTCACACAGCTATCATCTTCCACTTCAGTTAGTTCTCATCCTCCAGCATCTTCCCTCGGTCTTTGTTGGGCTCTCAAGGAGCTTAGTTTGCAACCACGGGCATTTGCACACCAGAAGGCAATGGCATGGGGCTGTTGGGTACCACTAGAGCCCGTCCTGGAGTTGTGGAGCACTGGGTATCCTGGAGAGCCCTGTCTGCCTCTGCTGTAGAGGGTGAAGAGGATCCAAGTGGGACCTGAGCATTGTGACAGTGACAGTGCTCCAGCCAGTGCAGGATTTGGCTCATCTCATTTTAGATGACTACGTGTAGGGCTGAACTCTCTCCTCAGTGGACATCCTTGGAGTAGTTACTTCATTCCAACTCCCTCAGGACTTCTGCCTGTGTCCCTGTGCTCCTGGAACAGCAGCTGAGGTCAGCAACATGACTTGGATGCTGGACTAGACCTCAAGAGCTGCAAGAAGGGAGTCTGAACCTTCATGTGGTGAAGGACATGTGAAGAACAAGTGAAGAACAAATAGCCCCCCATCAGGACAGATGGGGGCTTGAGCTTGAAGCAGCAGAGGATGGCAGGAGGGACAGCTGGAAGGACGGATGGGTGGTCAGAAGGAGGGAAGATGAAGAGATGATAACAGGGACAGTAGAAGGAGGAGCAGAGCATCTGAAAGGACAAGATACTGAAGGGAGGGCTGGAAGGAGTCCCTGGAGGTTTTTTCTCTGTCCCTGGAGGGTTTTTAAGATAAAACTGGATGTGGCACTCAGTGCCATGGTCTGGCAACCGCAGCAGTGTTGGATCAAGGGTTGGAGTTGATGATCTCGAAGGTCCCTCCCAACCCAGCTGATTCTGTGATGGAGGGGAAAAGGGCACTGTGAGGCTGCTCTTTGAGGTGTTGCTGCTGTGTCCAGGACTGTCCAGTGTCCACACAAACCCTGCTTGGGCAGAGGGGAAACATCCTGGGGAGAGGCCAAAGGCAAGCCCAAGGTTTGTTTGTGCCGTTTCTCCTCCTCTCTTGTGGAGCAGAAGAAAGTCATGAAATGTAAGTGCTGCAGAGGGGAACCTCCAGGTGGGAACCGGTTTCCTTGTCCACGTACTGCTCTCCTACTCCAGTTCCCGGTGGCAGTGGGAACCTGGAACATCCCTCCTGGGGAGCTCATGGGATGAGAGCCCACAAGCATCAGCAGAGGAGCAAGAAAAGGGCCCCTGGGCTGCAGAATTTCCCTTTCCCGGGGCTGCAGCTCCGCTTTTTCCTCCCTTCCCACCACAGGTGGGATGCAAACGCCAGCTCCGAGTTTTTCATCCTCCCACCAGATGTTTGAGCCAACCCCAGCAAGTGGCTGGGCTGGGACAGCACCATCACATCCCTAATAAATTCTCTGTCTCTGATAACATCTTGCTGAGCTCCAGGCTTTTTTCTCTTGCAGGGACATGAAACCTGAGCCTCCAAAGGGCTTTAACAGTATTTGCTCAAAACAGAGCAACAAATGTTTTCCACTGCTGAGGGTGAGAGGTTTGGACACTTCCAGAGAGCCAAAGGAACAGGAGCATCACCAGGAATGTGTCACATTAACCCATCATGGGCTGGCACTTGCTCAATCTCTACTCTCATCCCTTGGGGTCACTGGGGTGAGCAGTGTCAGATGGTCCCAACACCACGGGGGTGTCCCCAGACCCACACTGGCACAAACACTTTTGTGTTTTGGGTTTGCTTTTGGCCTTTCCAGGATGTTTCCTCTCTGCCCAAGCAGGGTTTGTGTGGGCACTGGGCAGACAGTCCTGGACACAGCAGCAGCACCTCTGAGAGAGGCCACTTGGTGCCCTTTGTCCCCTCCATCCTTCCAGCTCTCCCTTCAGCATCCTCTGTCCTTCCAGGTGCTCCGATGTTCCTTCCACTGTCCCTGTCATCCTCTCAGCATCCTCAGTGTAACACCCCAACTTGTGCCCCCTCCTGCCCACCCTGCTCAGATCTCAGCATTAGCCTGACCCCTTTCAGCCCTGGCTTTACTAAACCAAGTCTGGGGTGTCTCTCCTTCTGGAGAAAGTGTTGGAACAGAGGGAGGTGGGGCATGTGGTTTACCTCTGCAGTTAAATGATAATATTCACTGTCTAACCCCAAACTGGTCTCTTTTGGAGCTGCCACCACATCCTATTGTGAGGGTGCTGCATTTCCATTTGAAGGAGATTTTTGCTCTCCTTGTTATAGCTCTTCCTTGTATTCAGCTAATGATGTGCAGACAGTGGGTTCCTTGATGCAATGGCTGGAAGTGGAGGCCAGGAACAGAGGGAAGAGTCACCTTGAATCAACCTTTACTGAATTTGTTGGGAAAATTCTCAGTAAAGAACTAAACTGAAAAAAAAAATAATATATATATAAAAAAATCACTTGAGCATTTTTCATGAAACCACAGTGGATTTTGAAATGGAACATGTTTTCAAACTGAAATGTTTTCCTTAGTTTTTTTTTAAAAAATCAGAATTAAAACCCTGGCAGTGTCCAAGGCCAGGTTGGATGGGGCTTGGAGCGACCTGGACTTGTAGAAGATGTCCTTGCCCATGGCAGGGGGTGGAATGAGATGATCTTTAAGGTCCCTTCCAACCCAAACCATTCTGGGATTCTGTGATTCTCTGTTTGACTAATGCAATTTACTGCAAGGGACTTGAGTTTCCAGACCAGAAACTGCCCCTCTCCCACCCTGCCCTGCTGGGGAACATCCCTGTGCCTGATGCCTTCCAGGAGTGCACAGGGAGCAGAACTGGACCTCCCACCCGAACCCAAAGAACTCTAAGTCTGGATTAGCATTGTCCCTGCTGATTTATAGGATCATTAAGGTTGGAAAAGACCTCCAAGATCATGAAGTCCAACCTTTGACTGAATCCTCCCATGCCCATGAAACCATATCATGAAGTGCCACATCTGCTGGTTTTTTGGGCAATTCCAGGGATGGTGACTCCACCACTGCCCTGGGCAGCCTGTACCAATGGCTGACCACCCTTCCCATGAAGTAATTTTTCCTAATATCTGATCTAAACCTTCCCTGGAGCAACTTGAGGCCATTTCCTCCTGTCCTGTTCCCTGGCAGCAGAGCCTGAACCCCCCGGCTCTCCCCTCCTGTCAGGGAGTTGCAGAGCCAGAAGGTCCCCCCTGAGCCTCCTTTGCTCCAGGCTGAGCCCCCCCAGCTCCCTCAGCTGCTCCTGGTGCTCCAGACCCTTCCCCAGCCCCCTTCCCTTCTCTGGACATGTCCTACCACCACATTTCATCCAAACCAAACCTCTGCCCCAGCTCAGCACTGCCCAGAGTTAAAGGACAGGAGATGTCACTGAAAACCCACAGTGAATCTCAGCCTGGGGAAAGTGAGTGTTGGACAACACAGATCAGAGGCATCTTACCTGCTGCCACTGGTACTTTCCATTCCAGAAGTGTTCCATGAGCCATGGACTGGTTTGAAGTGGTTTGGGTGTGACCACATGGGTAAAATGGGGATGTGCTGCTTTGGAGGCACCTAAATTAGAAGCATCTTTAACTCTGCCTCCTCTTCTTTGCAGATACGACATTTGCATCTACAAGAACAAACCCTGTGGCACCCTGGGTAGGTAGAATTTTGCCACCCCTTCAGCAGCACCTCTCACCAGCACAGAGAACTTTGGGGGCATGGTGAGGGTGGGCTGTGCCACCCCCTTTCCCAGGGAACAAGCCGAGGGGCAACACTTGCCCAACAGTACCACAAGGACCAGCAGCAGAGCCAGGAGCAACCCAGTGGTTTTCGGCCTCCTCACTTCTGTAAACACTAAAAACAGCAACCCAGAGGACAGATGGGCTCTGGAACACTTCTCTGTTATATCCCTGGGTCAGGTCCAACCTGATGATTAAGAACCACTCGCATCTAGGGCTGGTCCATGGCCTAGTGGAGTATTCCTGGCTTAGCAGAGAGAAATAAGCCTTTTTTGTGATGACTATAAAGGGAGTTCTTTATTGAAATGGCGAGACACAGACAGACCCTGCAGCTTTCTCTGGCTGCAGCTCCTAATTTATCTTGCCCTGGTCTAGACTGAGCAGTCAGGGAGGGATTACTCCTCTGAATCACTGCAGTGAGAAGGGAAAACTTGGTGGATCTCTGACCTGATGCAACTGCAGATGAGGAGCCTGAGAGGGAGGTGAGGCTGGAGGTGCTGTGATGGCTCAATTTATTCCATGAACAGAGTCAGATCCTTCCCTGGCCCAATGGAGAGGGCATAGCCTGTGCTGGTCCATGGGCAGAGAGTTGGGAGAATCTGCTTCCACTATTCAGGGGAATTGCACTATTCCACTACTTGGGGGGCAGTTCTGATGATCCAGCCCTCCAGACTGAGTCAGGCTGGATTCCTGATCCTGGTGGGTGTCAGCCAGAACTAGGGTTGGATCTTGTCTTACTCTGTCCAGGCTGCCCTGCCCGAGTTTGGATTCCTAAGTGCTCGTACAGCCATTCCCAGGTTCCCCCACCAGTGTTTAGACAAGGACTGCTCCACTCTGTGCACAGTTTGGGATTTGGATATGAAATTCAGAGGATTTTGACCCATTCTCAGCATTTCTGAGCCTGTCAGTGTTAATTTAGCTGACAGTACTGAGCCACCACACACCCAGAGCCCATAGGAGCCATGAGTCCATCCCAAAGCCCAGTGGGAAGGAAGTGGTCACTGCCAACAGGCTGTGCTGAGCGTTAGTGAGAGCCCCCACACTCCTCCCCTGTCCCCTGCAGATGCTCTGTGGTGGCTCTGTGTGACAGCCCTATCTGCCTTCCCCAGGCCTGGCCCCCGTGGGCGGGATGTGCGAGCGGGAGCGAAGCTGCAGCATCAACGAGGACATCGGCCTGGCCACGGCCTTCACCATCGCCCACGAGATTGGCCACACGTGAGTACTGTGCCAGGACAGGCCCAGTGAGCAGCTGGCACAGGGAAGAGCCCCCCTCGGGTTTTTCCTGCCAAGAGGAGCTGAAAACCCTTCCTATGGATGACCCAGATGTGTTGAAAACACAGCAGCTGATCACCTCTCTCTGCCTTGGTGGTGCTTCCCAGGTTTGGCATGAACCACGATGGGGTTGGCAACAGCTGTGGCTCCCGTGGGCAGGAGACAGCCAAGCTCATGGCTGCTCACATCACCATGAAGACCAACCCGTTCGTGTGGTCCACGTGCAGCAGAGATTACATCACCAGCTTCCTGGAGTAAGGAACCCACCTCACCCTGCCCTTCCTCCCACCTCGCAGCCACTACACGCCTCCAACCTCCTACAGTCACCTGTGGAGGGGGTAAAACCCAAGAAAAACCCCCAAAGCACCCAGCCCTTCTGTCTTGTCTCCCAGCACCTCATCCTACCCCAAGAGGCACGTGCTCTCCTTCCTTCCTTTAGACATTCCCATGTTTTTCTTGCCTGATGAAGCTCTGACCCCTGTTATGACCTTTATTTAGGTTCCCCACACCCACAAGTAGATCAGTAGCTTCTGGAGGCATTTGGATGGTTCTGAAGTTCAGCTAGGGGTTGCAGGGAAGGGTTGGTGTGGTGGGGAAGGAGGGTCTGGAGTCAGGAATGGGTCTGTGTGGTGTGCACACCCTCCAGGCACTGGGGAGGAGAGTTTCCAGTGGGAACGAGCAAAGTAGGAGAAAGGTTTTGGTTTGGTTTTTTTTTTCCAAAGCACCTTCAGGATTCAAGAGAAGGGACAGGACAAGAGGGGATAGATTCAAACTAAAAGAGAGTAGGGTTAGATTAGATATTAGGAGGAAGTTCTTCTCTGTGAGGGTGGTGAGGCCCTGGCACAGGTTGCTCAGAGAAGCTGTGGCTGCCCCATCCCTGGAAGTGTCCAAGACCAGGTTGGAGAGGGCTTGGAGCAACCTGGGCTAGTGGAAGGTGTCCCTTCCAAGTTTTAAGGTCCCTCCCAACCTAAACCTTTCTATGAATCTGTGATTTAGACTCCTAAGTCCCAAATTTCAATATTGTCACCATGCCTAAGTCACATCTCTGCAGCCTGAAAGAGCTGCTTATCCAGGGTTCCAGCAGCTCCCAGGTTTCTGTCACAAAACAACCAGTCAGGATCAACTTGGGTGAGGATTTTGGTAGGATACAGGCACTGTGTGATAAAAGGACTGGATAGGATTTGAGTGATGACTGGAAGAAGCACGTCTGTGGGGGGGTCAGTGTGGAGGGAAGCCCCCAGGAAGTCTGAATATCAGACTTCAGCCAGTGATGCTGCAGTTGGAATACAGTGAGAGGAGCAATAAAGTCTCCTCCCAAGGGGCTTCACCTGCCCCACTGTCCTGCAAAGCTTGGCCAAACCCCATGGCTCATCCCCAAATCCCACATCTGGCAGCTGAGGTTTGGCCACAGCAAAACCTGTCCCCCTCAGTGAGCCCTGAACATTCCCCCCAGCCAGGCACGAGGCACGGACAGCCTGGGAAAGGCTGCCCTGTCCTCTGGTGACCCGAGGCCTCAGCAGGGCTGGCAGAGGACAAAGAGTTCATGTTGGGTCCCTCTGAGGTCTGTACTGGCCACCCCAGGGAGCCTCCACCAGGACATAGTGTGGGCAAGACTCCAGAATTTGGGGCTGGGGGGTGGTAACAGGGGCTTGGATTTAGGGAGAGCTCAGAGAACAACAAGGAAGGGGGAGGGAAAGGCGTGTTCCTTGCAAAATTTGGATGCTTCTACAAAGCTCTGGTGAGTAGAAAGTCAGGCTTGAGGCACGGGCATCTCCAGTTGCTCTGAGCTGGGGCTCAGTTGAGCAGAGGGCAGCCCCCTCTTCCCACCCACTGCCCACATGAGAGTCCTGGGCACAGACCTGCCCTGCTGGCCCCAGAACCCACAGGGACAGCCAGGGGCTGGTGATACCCTGCAGAACAGCAGGAGCTGTGCCGGGGGGCTTGGGATGGATCTCAGGGAAAGGTTCTTCCCCCACAGGGTGCTGGGGCACTGACCAGGCTCCCCAGGGCAGTGGGCACGGCCCCAAGGCTGCCAGAGCTCCAGGAGCGTTTGGACAACGCTCTGAGGGATAGGGTGGGATTGTTGGGGTGTCCTGGGCCAGGAGTTGGACTGAATGATCCCTGTGGGTCCCTTCCAACTCTGGGTATTCTGTGATTCTATGAACCCTCAGATGAACACTTCAGAGTTCCCTAGGAACTAGCATGTGCTTCCCAGCCCAGAGCACACAGGTAGAAGGATTCCAGAGCACTTTCTCAGCAGTGGTTCTGCCCAGAGGAGACCCAGGTTTATCCCCCCAGGCTCAGCTCTGTGCAGAGCAGGGAGTTGCACTGCTGATCCTCCACCTCAGTGCCCTCCCTCCCACGAGCCTTTCTGAGCTCTGATTCTCCTCTCTTGTTTCCAGCTCTGGGATGGGACTGTGCCTGAACAACGCTCCTCCCAAGCAAGACTTTGTGTACCCCACAGTGGCTCCAGGCCAGGCCTACGATGCAGACGAGCAGTGCCGCTTCCAGTACGGAGTTAAATCTCGCCAGTGTAAATACGGGGTAGAGAGCCTTCCTGCTTTACTATTGGTTCCCAGGGGGTGGAGGATGGGGGGACAAGGACAAAGGGATGTGGGGCTGTTCCTCTGCAGCCCCATCACTTTGCTGTCCTGCCTCAAACTGGCATGTTCTCTGTGAGCTCGTTGACTTGCTTCCCTCTGAGAGGACAGAGATGGTTTCCCGTCCACAAAGGTTGAGCCCAGCTCTATTTTGGTCAGGTTAATCAATGGGAAGAGGTGTCTTGCCTCTACCTGGTGCCTTGGCTACTGCTGGTCCCCAGGCCAAGCTGTGTTCTCCTCATCCAGACTCTGTTCACAGACATATTCTCCATAGTCCTTGCTAGAAGTCATTGTGCTGCTCAGTGTACTCCTACAAACTTAGGAGGAGAACCATCTTTCTTCCAGGTGAGGTGGAGCAATATGCTGTAGGTACATCTGTAGGTACAGCTGCACACCTAAGCCTCCCCTGGCAGCCCCTGGTCTTTGGACCCAGCAAACCACTGAAAGGAAAGGGTGTTCCAGGAGAAAGGAGTCTTCTTGGATCTCAGCCTAACATTTTGTTGTTCTTAACCTACTGAAGGCTGGCAACTGTCTGAGCAGAGCGATGAGGGGAAGTGTCTGTGCTGAATGGCTGATTGAGCTCCTTAACACATCCGTGTTCCTCTAGAGAAAGCACAGGCAGCAGTGTTGTCTAATGGATACATATTTTTTCATGGAAAGGGTAATTAGACATTGGAAGGGGCTGCTCAGGGAGGTGGTGGAGTCACCATCCTTGGAGGAGTTCAAGGACATGGGACTCAGTGCTCTGATTTAGCCAAGGTGGTGATCAGTCACAGGTTAGACTCAATGACCTTGGAAGTTTTTTCCAACCTTAATGTTTCCATGATTCCGTGTGCACCCACTCCAGTCCAAGCCCTGGAAAGCTGTGAAGGAGGAAACATATCAGTCCAGGATTTAGCTTCTCTTAAAACCATGTAAGCACAAGCCCAACTCTGCCATTGAGGTGAACCAGGTCATCACTTTGAACATTCATCTATCTATGGTTAAACACTAAACCACCTCCTGGTGGTCTCACCAGCTCATCCTGGTGAACAAAGAGGAAAGTTTGGCTCTCCCAGGCCCAAAGCCTATTGGATATGAGGCAGATGCAGCAGGAAAAGGCTGGGTCCAAATAACATGGTCGTGGTATCTGATGTCAGGTGATACCAGCTGGGGTTTGTGCCCCTCCTGAGCGGAGCCAGAGGCAGGGAATGGAAGCTTCCCACGTTTACATGCCTGTGTCCCAGCTGATTTTTAACTGGGGTGGACACTTCCTGTGTATACACAAAGACCACAAAAGCACAAAATGTCCTTGTGATGACCTGGCCTGTCATGAGTGTGGCTTGGGACGAACCCAAAGGGCACAAGGGCTTGGGTAAATCCAGGTAAATGTGTGAGTCCACCCATGCTGTGCCCACATAAACAACCTCCCTTCCTCCTCCATGCCAGAGAGAGCGGATGATTAATGGGAATAATAAGGACAGAGAGAGCAGATGTCACTGATTCAGGGCTGGGTTGGATGAGGCATTGAGCACCCTGGTCTAGTAGAAGGTGTCCCTGCCACAGCAGGGGGTTGGAACCGGATGATCTTTAAGGTCACTTCCAACCCAAACCATCCCATGATTCTGTGATTGAAGCTGGAAAGTCACCAGGAAGCCCTTGGTGACAGAGGGAAGGGTCACCCTGTGGCACTCTGCTAGTCCTTGATAGCCACACCTCAAATCCTGGGTCCAGTTTTGGGGCCCTCATGACAAAAAAAACCTTGAGGGGCTGGAGCGTGTCCAGAGAAGGGAACAGAGCTGGGGAAGGGTCTGGAGCACCAGGAGCAGCTGAGGGAGCTGGGGGGGCTCAGCCTGGAGCAAAGGAGACTCAGGGGGGACCTTCTGGCTCTGCAACTCCCTGACAGGAGGGGGGAGCCGGGGGGGTTCAGGCTCTGCTGCCAGGGAACGAGGGACAGGAGAGGGAACAGCCCCAAGTTGTGCCAGGGGAGGTTTAGATTGGATATTAGGGAAAATTCCTTCATGGAAGAGGTGGTCAGCCATTGGCACAGGCTGCCCAGGGCAGTGGTGGAGTCACCATCCCTGGAAGTGTTCAAACAATGTGTGGATGTGGCCCCTGGGGACAGGGGTTAGTGGTGACCATGACAGTGCTGGGGTAATGGTTGAACTTAATGATCTGAGAGGTGTTTCCAACCTTAATGATTCCATGATTCTGTGACAGTGCTGGGAGTGCATTACCAGCAGCTGGGGCAGTTCAGGTTCTGCTGTCAGACCTCCAGAGTTTCCTTCATTGACATTGTGAACCTGTTTTAATATTTCATGTAAACCTAAGTCATGTCCTAAGTCATGTCAAGCTGCTCCCTGAAAAGCAGCAAGTTTTCCATAGTTTTTTTTCATTAGGAATAGGAGCAGGATGGTTACTGGGCAAGATACTAAGGAAACTGGATTTGGGGTTTTGCAGTTTGCAGGTGTTGAAGTCCAGCCTGGCTGGTTGAGTGACACAGCAGGTCCAAAGGGTCTGAATTTTCTGATTTAGCTGTCTCTGACACAGACCTAACTTTTGGGTGGGTCCTGGAACAGCCAAGGGAAGATTTGTGTTTGCTGAAGCTCTGAGAGATCAGGATGGGCTGAAGCTCAGGATCTGTGGCTCAGGAAATCTCCTGGAAAGACCTGGAGTCCTCAGCCCAGTGTCACTCATTGGACCCAACTGCACCAAGCAGAGACCAAGAGCAGAAGTGCCCAATTCTGAAGCTGCTTAAGGGCTGGCTCAGTATCTGGAAATATTTTGGTTATTCTGAAAACAACTCTAAATCTTCCAGAGGAGTCTTCCCTTTGGGACTGCTGGACTGGCTGGAGATGGTGGAGGTGCTTACACTGTGAGCTGCAGTGGGAGGTGACAGATGTGCCATGTCGATGCTCCCAGAGAGTCCTACATTCCTGCAGAGGCAGATCTAGGTCCATATGGAACAGGGCAGGTGCTGGGAATGGGGCCCTTGTGCTCATCCTCCATTGCACAGACCCAAAACTGGGAATATTCCTCATCTCTGTGGCTGTCTGGGCTTTACTTTTACACCTTGAGACAGTTTCCCTCAGTGAGAGCGTGAACCTGTTAACACTTTCAGGTATAACCTAAGTCATGGTAAGCTGTTCCCTGCAAAGCAGCAAGTTTTCCATAAGTTATTTCATAAGGAATATGAGCAGGCAGAAAACTCAGCTGTGGATTTTAGGTGTCTCCTCTGGGGAGGGAGTCAGGATGGTGGGATTAGCTCAGACCTCCCTGAGGTGTCCAAGGAGAGGTGCCCTTTGTGCCACATGGAGCAGGTTTGGGCTGGTTGGGGAGTTGGCTCTGGCACCTGAGCTCAGTGACCTTCCACATCCAGAGAATCCCAGGCCTGGGAGAAGTGTTTAAGATTAGTCTAGAGAAGGGGGTGAGCAGTCAGTGCCCCTGGGGCAGGATTTGGTCTCATTTTGCCCCCACTAAGCTGAAAACACTTGTGTCCTGTGTCCCAGCCCAGCTGGTGCCTCCCAAGCACACTGAGGTGCTGCTGTCCCAGCCTTGCAGGCCCTGGCACAAGCAAATCCTAACCTTGGTTTTGTTTCTTTGTCTCTTCCCTCCTCCCTCCCCCCCCCTCCCCCAAAATCTCTGTCTTTCCAGGAAGTCTGCAGTGAGTTATGGTGCCTGAGTAAGAGCAACCGCTGCATAACCAACAGCATCCCTGCTGCTGAGGGGACCATCTGCCAAACCAACACCATCGAGAAGGGGGTAAGGCAGCCCAGGGCACTGCAGAGAGTTGACAGGGAGTGGTTGAATCCTCTCCCAGCAGTAACTGGGATTATTGTTTGCACTGGGGAGTGAGGAGTTGATTTAAGAGCACCCACCAGCCTGTCCGACCCTGCCTCCCAGTCTGGAGCCATCCCTGCCCTCCCCGCTGCCATGGAGGGAGGCTGGGATGGGCCATGGAGCCCAGGGACCCATAATCACCCCAAAGGACAGTTCAGCTTGTGTAGGGCTGGACCATGGAATATGTGCAATACTGGAATATGGTATATGAAATCCCTGCTCCAGCAGCTTCTTGGTCTCTCTTGAGGCACAGTAAAGTGACCTCAAACAACACCATATTCCTTAGATGAACATCTTGTCTTCAGGTCTGCTGGGATCTCCTGGCAGCCCTGAGAAAAAAGGGATTTTTCCCCCAGTTCTCCCAGGAGGGACAGTGGGTTTGTAACATGTTTTTAGAGGAACTTGTGAAAAACTGGCTAAATATGATGAAACCTTTGTTTTTCACACTCAACTGAGAGAGAAGGGCAGGATTTTTCCTGACCATATATTTTTGAACGTGAATTTTGACTTGACTGCTCATAGAACTTCATTCTCTGCTCCTCCTACACCCATTTGCACCAGTATAGAGCAAATGGGTAGCACTGCTAAGACAAAGAGCCTTTACAAAGTGAATAATGGTTGGGACAATAGAGAATCAGGGCTGGGACATTCCCCATTCGATGGATGTGTTTTATAATTCCTGAGAAATTCGAGAAAATTTTCAGATCCTTAAGAAGGTGGAGAAGCTGATGTGCAGGAACAAGGATGTCTTTGACAAATTCATTATTCTTTGTGAACATTTCTCTGAAAATTAGGTCAGAGAGGAGCAGACAGCTCCTGGGGCTGGACACCCCTCCTGCTGCACACTCACCAGAGACAATGGCATTTTTTTCTTCCTAGTCATCTCTTTTTACCAGCTTTTCCCACTTTTAAATCTCCCTTTTCCACCCACTTACAAGCTGTTTTATAACCAGGGTTCTTCAAAAGCTTTGAGAGAAGTGAAGCAGACACAGCCCCCCAGAACTCACAGGAGCTATTCCCAGTGATTGGCTCAGTTCCCTTCCTGGGCTGCTTCTTTTCCTTTTGTATTAATTCATATTTTGGAAGTGATTTGATATCCTTGGGTGGAAGAAGATGGACCTTTGTGTTAAGTTTCTGCATTGCTGGAGCTCCTGGCTGGTGGCCTCCAGACCTCAGCCCTTGGCTGGAGCAGCTCTCCAAGGTCTTTCCTAGCTTCTCCCTTTCTCCTGGGAAGAGCAGAGGGAAGGATCAGGGTATTTAAGGTATTTCAGGAATGCAAGATTAAAGGAGAGATTGAGTTCCTGTGCTCTGACACCCAACTGGGGAAGCAGTGAGGGGGGAAGGCTGAGACAAGTTCTGCTGGATGGTGGCTGTGCCCACATCCCAGACCTCTGTTGTTTCCTCCTCCAAAATTCTCCCTGTTTTTTTTTATTAACTGATCTCCTGTGGTTGTTTGGCTCCACCTTACCCAGAACCCACAGAGAGTGACTTCAGGTCTGGATCCTGCTGCCCTCGAGGTGCCCCAGCAGCCTGGCAGGTTCAACATCCTGCTGGTTCCTTCCCTGCCTGGTTTACTTTTCCTTTGTATTTTTATTTTAATTTCCATTAATCCATCACTTATCACCCAGGTTATGGTCAGTGTACCCTGTGAGGATGCTTTTCTTTACATATCCTCTCTCCCCACGTGCCCCCTACTCACATCTGGTCTCTCAGCCTGCACAAGTCCATGTTTTCCACAGGAGAGGGAGCTGGGATCTGCTCCTGGAGCAAGGACAGAGCCCATCACTGGCTCACAGAATCATAGACTGTGCTGAGTTGGAAGGGACCCATCACTGATGCTCTCAGGATCCCTGAGTGCCTGGGGGTTTGCAGGGGCTGGTGAACTCCTGGGCCCTGCCTGCAGAAGAAGGAGCCCCAGTCCCTCCGGTCTGGAGCAGGGAACTGGTCAGGCTGTGCCTGCAGAGCATCTCCTCCACCTGGGATCCTCCTTTGCAGAGCTGCTGGTGTGTAGGAGGTCTCTCCTGCATGTCCTGGGAGGCATTTTTCCTGGCTGGCTGGGCTGCCCGTGGAGATCTTGGCTCAGAGGGAGCTGGGAGAGGCTGTGCCAGCAGCTCCAGGGTGGGTTATCAGCTCCTGGAAGGAGCACACAGCAGTTTCTTCCTTCCTGGGATTATCTCAGCCCCCAAGGCACGGTGTGGGCTCCGTGCCAGGGGAATGGCAGCGGCTCTGGCACCGTCCCACTCCTCCCATCACTGGGGACTCCAGGGGGTGTGGGACGATTTCCAGGGCCGAGGGAAATGCTTCCTAGGCAAGTTTCCATGAGCATCTGTCTCCCAGTAGGACGGGGACAGGCAGGTTCTTTAAGGATCCTCAGTAACAACAAATTGCAATTTAAACATTATTTTAACCTGGGCCCTTTGCAGGTCAGGTTGTTTTAACACATTAACCACAACTTGAGAGCCCAGTGCACACAAAGCTCACTCTGTCCTGGGAGAGAGCAGCTGGAAGTGGAGGTGTCCATGTCCCCCAGGGATCTTGGCTCTGCCCAGCAGCAGCAGCTCCAGTCCCACTCCCACCTGGGAATTACTGCCATGAGCTTTTGTAGGCAGTGGGGTGTGTGCTCTTAGGTGTCCCTGCTCACAACACTGGTCACCCTGATTGACCCAGGACCCTTTTAGAGGAGAATCCCAAAATGCTTTGGGTTAGAAGGGACCTTAAAGCTTATCCAGTTCCACCCCCTGCCATGGGCAGGGACACCTTCCACTACCCAGGTTGCTCCAAGCCCCGTCCAACCTGGCCTTGGGGACTTCCAGGGATGGAGCAGCCACAGCTTCTCTGGGCAACCTGTGCCAGTGCTTCACCACCCCACAGAGGTGGGGATGTGACCCCCTTGTCTGTGGCTGCCTGTCCCATGGGATGGTGCCCGGGGCCTAGGAGTGGGGACACTGGTTCCAGCACCCCTGCAAACCCCAAGTACACTGTACAGAGCTGGTGACAGTGTGACTTGGAGGAGAGGGTGCCCAGGGAGAGGTGAGTGCCCTGTGCCATGGAGAGCTCAGCTGGTCAGGGAATGGTGCTAAATAACTCCAACGTGGTGGGTTCAGTCCCTGTACAGACCATTCACATAAGAGTTGGATCTGATGATCCCTTCCGGAACATTATAAAATAATATATATTAAATATTATATATTTAAATAATAATATTTAAACTCAGAAGTTTCTGCGATTCTGTGATTCTGAAACTTGGCTCCAAGGCGTGTGCAGCTCCAAGTCCAGATTTCCCAGGATCAAATTGCCCTGAACTGTCTGCCATGTCCGACGGAGGTTGGGGAGTACTCTGGGAGGTCAGACCATGTGCTCAGGGTGTTCAGAGCTCTCTCTCTCTCCACAGTGGTGCTACAAGAGGGAGTGTGTGCCTTTTGGAACCCGACCTGAGGGTGTGGATGGAGCCTGGGGGTCCTGGTCATCCTGGGGGGAATGCAGCAGGACGTGCGGCGGTGGCGTGTCCTCGTCCGTGCGCCACTGCGACAGCCCGCGGTACGTGGGGGTGCTGAGGGGGTCAGCCTGGCCCTACCATGGCCAACACTGCTCAGTCCCATGGAGAAGTGTTGCCTAAAATCAGAGAATAATTCTCTGGACTATTTTGGAGTACTGAAAGGCAAAAAGCACTTCATTATTGCGGTGCCGATGGTACACAAGAATATTTTGCACACGCCGATTACAGAGGCTTTTACAACTTTGTACTATCATCTAATTACAATATCCAGTTTCTAATTACAGTATTCTGTTTCCAATCACAATCTTTGGGCATCACCTCATCTGTTGCACCCACTTCCAAAACCATCCCTCCCATAGCACCGCCCTCACCACGCCCCTGCCACACCTCAAATTTGACTCAGTGGTCCTAAAAAGACTATGCCTTCATCTTCTTGTCTTCCTCATCTCCTCTGACCCTTTTGGAATGGTTTCAAGGCCCCTGAGTAGCTTTGGCTACTTATAGCAAGTGTTAGGTCTCTTTCTCAGTACATTTTTACAGGTAGAAAACTTCACCTCATTAAAATCCCTTGTCCTTTGAAATTCTTAACAAGGAATGTTCAACAGCACTTTTAGAAATCTTGTACAAAGCTAAAGGTACTAACAAGCTGTACTAAAACCTTATAAAATATAGATTTTAAGGTATCAGAAGGCACAGCCAGGTGCCTGTGCAGGTCTCTGCTCTGCTCACGGCTCCTGCATGTCCTGTTTTCCCAGCAGCTCAATGCTTTGTGCTGGTGTTGGACCCGCAGCCACAGACCCAAAAACACTTGTGCAACCCCACTGTGCACATCCAGCCCAGTGTGTGAGCCCTGTGGAGGCTGCTCCTCCTCCCAGCCCATCCAGGCAGGATCAGCAGGGTTGGGAGAAGCCATGGTCCTCCTGCAGACTTGGGGCAACAAACACAACTCCCTACCCCGAGCTGGTTCCACCATCTCATTCCTGGTTTTGGCAGGCCCACGATCGGAGGGAAGTACTGCCTGGGAGAGAGGAAGAGGTACCGGTCCTGCAACACCGACGTGAGTAGTGCTGGGCTGGCAGGGCTGTGTCCCAGCCAGGATTTGGGAGCCCTTCCCACACAATGCAGGGTGTTATGTGCAGCTGTGGGACCCACAGGAAGAGGAGGAGGCTGGGAGAGGCAAAAACAGGGTGTTCCAGCAGCAATCCCACAGGGGGGAACAGCGAGCAGGACCATGCACATCTGCGAGCTGCTCCAAGGGTGGGTGGTTCGTACCTGTGGGGCTTCAGCATCAAGAGGGGCCCAAAAAGATAGAGAGGCAAGGGAGGAGAGATCAGAGGGTTCCAGCTCTGACATGGCAGGGATGCCTCTCACACACTCCATGAGCAGCTCATGAAATGCCGGGTAGGACTTTGCTTCCCAGGGCTGAGGGTTAAACCTCAAGGGGAGCAGAGAAAGAATTTTGCTGTAGAGATGGTCAGTGAAGCTTTGGACCTGGGGAATGGTAGCTTTAACTTCCACAGGCTGATGGTGAGGAAAATAGAGGGTTCTATTGCTTCCCTGGGCTTCCAAGTGACACATCTCTGTCAGAGCACCTGAGTGCTGTTGGTCTTAAATCATGTCCAGCTTTGCAGGAGGGATTCTCCTGCTGTCCTGCAGCAGTGCCCAGTGTCAGGGCTGGTGTCCCTATCCTCCAAGGGCTGGTGTCAGTGTGTCAGCAGCCCAGTGAGGCTGCCCCAGCCCTGCCCTGACCCCTGGTTGTGTCTCCAGGACTGCCCACCCGGCTCCCAGGACTTCCGAGAGCTCCAGTGCGCCGAGTTCGACAACGTCCCCTTCCGAGGAAAGTACTACACCTGGAAAACCTACCGTGGGGGTGAGTGCTGGGCTGGGCTGGGCTAGGCTGGGCTGGGCTGAGCATCCCACCTGGAAAACCTACAGTGGGGGCGAGTGCTGGGCTGGGCTGAGCATCCCCCAGCTCAGACAGAGCTGACTTTGCTCTCTGTCACGCTCTGGAGGGATGGGTCTTGTGGTCCAAGGGGTCTGATGGACAGCTAGTCAGGATTCCCACTAGCCCAGGGCCCGCAGGCTGCCCTTTCTGTGCTCCTGGGATGTGCTGCCACCCCCTCACCTGCCTGTGGATTGATGTGCACCCCTCCAGGCATCTGCTGTTCCTTCATCCTGGGTCGCCTACCCCTGTGCAACCTCCCCTTAACTTCCTTGCTCTGCCAGAACCAACTCCAGCAGCACCAGAGCTGTTCAGCTTCTTCCCTCAGGTCTTGTTTCCTGAACTGCTGAGGGAGTAAAGAGGAGGATGGACAAGAGAAGGGAGTGATGGTGTCTGATGGGGAGGAAACAGGGCAGGCAGGTAAAGCTTTCAGCTGCTGCACAGGTGAAGGGATGGGAGCTGCTGGATCCTCCAAAGAGCAGCAATTCCCTCATCTCAAGAGCAATCCTGTGTCCTGCAGAAGGTCCAGTGAGGAGAGGGGGTGGGAGCAGGCCCCTGTGGCAGAAATCTCTTAATAATGAGAAGGAACAGTGAATCTCCTTCATACAGTTAATGAATTCGAGTGGGGAAATCCTCCCCAGCTGTGTAAATAACACAGCTCCCAGGGGGCTCCTGCAGCTGGAGCAGATGTGCTGAGGCTGCAGGGGATGGATCAATAAAAATGGAATAATTGTGAAGCAGTAAGTCACACAAAGACCCCAATGGATGCCAAGGTGCAAGACAGCCCTGCAGGCTGGAGCTGCCCTCGCTCAGACCTCTCTATTGCCCAGGCATGGCCCCATGGTGGGAGTCCAGGGAATGGTTGGTCCAGCATCAGCTCTTGAGTTTTAACCTGATTCTGACAAGGATTTTTGCTTTGGTTTTTAAAAAGAGCCCCTTTCTCTTTCTGCTTCAGCTTCCTCTATCATAAAATAAGGTAACAAAACCTGTCCCCTTCCCAGGAGGCTACAAGTGTTGGCACATTCATGCCTTGAAGAGACCTGAGAGTTCTCTCTCAGCTCTCCAGGTTGTCTGTGGGGAATGATCATCCCTGCAAGTGTTCAAGGCCAGGTTGGATGGGGCTTGGAGCAACCTGGAATAGTGGAAGGTGTCCCTGCCCATGGCAGGGGGTTAGACTGGGCAGTCTTTGGAAGTCCCTTGTGACCCAAACCCCTCTGTGATTCTCTGATTTCAGCAGCATCTTCACATGCCTGTGGGATTTCGTGATACTTGGAGTCATTTGGGTGTCAGAGGTACATCTATGAGGGAGGTGCCTTGCACCTCCACCTTCTCCATGTCGTAGATAAGACCCCCAGGGAACAGTCCCCTCTTATCTTTCCCCTTGCCACTGATGGTTTGCTGCCAGGCCCTGTGTTTCTCCCTTGCAGCCCCTGTGCCATCAGACATCCCTGCCCAGCTCTGGGGAGGCGGTGAGGGCTGATCATCACCTCCCTCACTCCCTCTTGGGCTCTTCCAGTGGTGCCCAGAGAGCTCTGGTGTGGTGGGTGTCACTCCCTCCCTCCCCACTGGCACAAGCAGCCCCCCAGGATCCGTGTTGGCAGCCTCATCCTTGGGCATTCCACCTCCAGCTGACAGCATATCTGCTCCTCAGGTTATTTTCGGGCACTCTTAGGGAGCTGTGTTCACCACCCTGATCCTCTGCTGAATCCCGTCCCCCTCTCATCTCAGCATCCCTGAGCTTCCCAAAAAGGTGCAGTGGCTCAGGGCTGCTTGTGCCCTTTCCCCATCAGATGCTTGACCCCATAATTACTGGGGAAATACCCTGGGCATGGAGCACCCCCACCCCAAGACAAGGAGTTTGGAGGGGGAAGGCACCAATCCTGCAGGGAATTTGGGAAGGGAAGGAGCCACCCACTGACACCGCCGGGTCACCGGCACCGAGGTCGGGCTGTGCAGGGGCGGTACAGCCTGTTTTCCTGGCGCTGATTTCCAGTGCTCCCAGAGCCCAGACCCCGGGAGTGGAGATGTTTGGAAGAGCTGAGCTCAGCCTTTCGGAGCTCAGCAGTCAGCAGATCCCTCCTGGAATGCGGCTTTGTTTGTTTGTTTATTTTGCTCGGTTCGCTCAGTTGTTCTTCTTGCTCTTGGCGTGTGCGGGAGTCACACGGGGCTGTGAGAGGGATGGGGAGGAGCAGATCCTTGCAGAAAACAGGAGATTGCTAATCAGAAATTGTAATAAGCCTTAATTCCTCTATGGGAGAGGACAGGCAGGAGGAACAAAACACACTGAGAGGCAGCCAGCTGGAAATATTCTGTTTTAATAGCTGCATTAAACATTCGAAGGTGTAACTGAGGCTGTGCTGACCTGGGACTACAAACCAAAGTGAGGAGTGGGGGGTCAAAGTCTGCAGGATGATGCCTGGCTGGGGGGGGGGGGTTCACCTCTCCAGGAGCAGAGGGCTGTAGACCTGAAGGAATGGCATGAAGATGTTTCAGGGAGGTTTAAGATGGATCTCAGGGAAAGGTTCTTCCCCCACAGGGTGCTGGGGCACTGACCAGGCTCCCCAGGGCAGTGGGCACGGCCCCAAGGCTGCCAGAGCTTCAGGATTGTTTGGACAATGCTCTGAGGGACAGAGTGGGATGGTTGGGGTGTGTGTGCAGGGCCAGGAGTTGGAATTGATGATCCATGTGAATCCTTCCTACTCAGGATATTCTCTAATTAGTGACACTGGCTGGGCAGTGCCCAGGCTGGGAGGTCTCACTCGTTCTGTGGAAGTCGCTCTTCTCTCGTGGTCGTGAACCCACAACAGGCTCTACAAGAGCTTGTGCTGAGCATCTCACTCAAGTCCTGTGGATTCAGGCACTGCTGGGCAGCACTGAGCCAGCCTGGGGGGATACAGAGCCCTCAGGCTCCCACCCTAAAAAGTGCAGCTCCCACCAAACCACCCACACGCTGGGAGAGGCTGGATCCTGGTTGCTGATGAAAATAATTCCCATCTCCCGGAATTTCAAGGCATGTTGTGCTGTTTCAAAGGATCTTTCTGGGATCTGGGCTCACCCTTAGTCAGTGTTGCTGTCATGGGGACACACAGTTGTCACTGGAGCCACCTGAACGAGGACCAGGTGACCAAACCACCCGACTACCTCTTGGCCAGCTGAGTGATGAGGACACTCCAGCTCCCAACAGATGCTGGGCAGTGGTACCAGTCTCCTTTCCTCTGGTGGGTGGGATAGTGACCTGGCTGCCAAGGGCAAATCCTGACTGGAAATTGTCACCAGGGAGGGTGTGCTGAGGACTGTTCCAGCCATCAGGACATAGGTACTAACTCAGGGTCACTCTTCTCTCCACTCCTTCCTCTTCCACTCTCCCGCTCCCCATTTTTCTTCCATAAGACTTTTAAGTGCAGAAGTCCACCACCTGCAAGCCTTTCCCAAGTGACTAGATGAGGTGAGCCAGCAAGGACTCATCCCACATGGAGCACGAGCTCCCAGACCCCAATCTCACCTCTGTGCAGGGACCCCCAAGTCCAGGCTCTGCTCTTGGCTCTCAAAGGCGGGACAGTGGTGGGTGCTGAGTTTCCCCTGCTCAGCAGCTGCTTCCCAGGCTCCCAGACCTTCTCCAGGGGCTTGCCCAGGCATCCTGCTCCACAACATGCCTCCAAGCTGCCGAATTCCCCTCTCATGTCTCCTCCTGCTCCTCCCTCTTCCGGCTTTGCTCTTCCTTCCCCACAGCTGCTCTTGGATGCTCCCAGGCACAGCTGGGCCTCCCCTCCCCCTGCCCCTTTGATGTCCTGTATCCAGTTGCAAGTTTTGCAGATTTTCTCCCATCCCAGGTGCTTCCCAGCTCTGGCACAGGGCTCAGGACTGTTGCTGGTGCCTGCAGGAGGGAACTGCCACAGCTCAGGCTTCTCTGCCAGGGTCATGCAGGCTGCTGGGTCTCCTTGGGATGCTCAGGAAATGCAGAAAATGGCTCAATCCACACCAGCATTTGATAAAATCTAATGGCAGGAGAGAGGGAACTGCTCTGCTTTGGTATCTCCTTCCATAACTGGTCCCACATCCTGCTCCCAGGCACTATAAGCCAACCTATCCAGCCTCTGTTCCTTACCTGATGCTTTGGCAAGGGGTGTTAGGGAACAGATATTTTAGCAGTAACCTGGGCATCCTTTCCCCTTCATCCTCACACTGCTGTCATCATCTTTGCTGTGAAGGACCCAGTATCCACCAGCGTCAAACACAAACAAATGGTTGCTCTGGCCTAGTAACTGGTGTAGGAGTTGAAAAACTTGATTGTTCTGGTCTGGGAGCTGAAAAAACCCTTGGACGATTCACTGAAGAGGTGCTGTCTCAGTTTCCCTGTCTGCAAAGTGGGCACAAGGAGCTGTAAAGTGCCAGAAGACCCAGAAAAGAACCAGTTTGTTTCCTTCCCCGTCACATCCAGCCCCTGCCTCCCAGGCTGTGCAGGAGGGACAGTGTCTCACCGTGGGTCGGTGTCCATCTGAAGGGCCCTGACACAGTGCCTCTGTGGGTCTCTGCTCATCAGGGACATCCTCCTGCATCTCCACATCTTTCCTCTCTCCTTGGCAGCACCATTTGACCCTCTGCTCCTTCCCCAGGGGGTGTGAAGGCCTGTTCCCTCAACTGCCTGGCCGAGGGCTTCAACTTCTACACGGAGCGGGCGGCGGCCGTGGTGGACGGGACCCCGTGTCGGCAGGACTCTAATGACATCTGTGTCAATGGGGAGTGCAAGGTGCTGCTGGGACCTGGGACAGGGATGGGGAGGCAAGGATAGACCCCCAGGCATGGGAGCACTGCCCTCAACCTGCCCACACGGACATGGCAGAGGTGGAGGGCTGGGAGAGCTGGGGGGGTTCACCTGGAGAAGAGAAGGCTCCAGGGAGATCTGAGAGCCCTTTCCCAGGCCTAAAGGGGGCTGGAGAGGGGCAGGAGAGCTGGAGAGGGACTGGGGACGAGGGATGGAGGGACAGGACAAGGGGGAATGGCTTCCTACTGCCAGAGAGATATTCCCAATATTCCACGGTTAGATGGGATGTTGGGAAGGAATTCTTGGCTGTGAGGGTGGTCAGGCCCTGGCACAGGTTGCCCAGAGAAGCTGTGGCTGCTCCATCCCTGGAAGTGTCCAAGGCCAAATTGGACTTGGAGCAATCTAGGATAGTAGAAAGTGTCCCTGCCCATGGCAGAGGTTGGAACAAGATGACCTCTAAGATCCCTTCCAACCCAAACCATTCTGGGACTCTCTGATTCCCAGTTCCACTGGGGGGTAGGAGCTCACCCACACTGGGCTTGTGCCTGTCCTGTCTCCAGGCCCTGGGTGTGCACATGGGCCTCTGCACTCACAGCCTGTGTAGCCCTGGGCATTTGATATTCCCCTTGAAATGGGATCTGGAGGGGCCATAAAAGTTTAATTATAAGCAAGCACTGTGGGAGTGGCCAATGTCCCCCAGCAGGCAGACAGACAGACAGGCTCTGTCTGTGTCTGTCTCCCTTCCTGTGTCTCTGGGATCTCTTTGTCTCCGTGGGGCTGAACACACTGTGGAACAGAAGGGGCATTGCACTACAGGTGCTGGTGACCCCCATGATCCCCCTCGGACCGTGGCAGTGGGACAGAGCCAGAGGCTCCACAGGGACACCTGAGCTGCAGGGACATGGCTTCCCTTGGGCTGCTGCAGCTCCAGCAGCTCAACACAGGCATCCTAACCTCTGCCTTATCCCACAGTCATGGGATTTCTGCCTGCACCTCCTCAGCCTTGGAGAGCCCCAAGGGCTGTTCCTGGAGAGGTGATGCTGCTGAGCACTGTATGGTGTGGTGATGGGTGTGAGGTGGAGCCAGGGATGGCCTTCCTGGGATGCTGCAAGTCAGGTGTGCAGAGGAAAAGGTCCCACCAGGATGGCTAATTCCCTGCTGCCCCTTCCTCCAGCACGTGGGCTGTGACCGTGTCCTGGGCTCAGACTCGAAGGAGGACAAGTGTCGTGTATGTGGGGGCGACGGCAGCTCCTGTGAGACCATCGAGGGCGTCTTCAACCAGTCCCTGCCAGAGGGAGGTAGGGAGTGAGTGGCCTGGCCAGTGTCACCCACCCTCAAATCCCCTTTCAGCTTCACCCAGGACAGGCAGGGACGTATCCCAGAGAAACACCCCAAGGGGTAGGACTGGGCTGCCATCAGGGAGCAAACCCGCCCTGTCACTGACCAGGCTGTGCCCCCCTCAGTGCTGGCACCCAAATCCCCGACTCAGAGCTCCAAGCTCCTTCCCTCCTCCCCATCTCATGCTGCCCTTGAGCCAGGCTTGGGAGTTTCCCATGGAGATCCCAGCTCCACAGCACCTTCCCAGCACAGCCAGTCCCATCACAGAGCCCAAACTGCAGAGCCAGCAGGGCACTGTCCTGGTGCTCAAAACGCTCTTTCCATCATTTAGCATTTCCCCAGGGATAGGAGGGGGCTCACTCCCACCCAGCCCAGGGCAGGGCTGGCTCTGGGCTCAGAGGTTGAGCATTCCAACTCACCAGCCCTGGGTTGTCTCACAGGTTATGAGGAGGTGATCCAGATTCCCAAGGGCTCCGTCCACATCGACATCCGGGAGCTGAACCTCTCCATCAACTACCTGGGTGAGATGGGGCTGGGGGTGCTGAAATCCCAGCCTGGCACCTCTTGCTCTGCCATTTCCCTGTGGTTAATAGGGTGCGGGAAAGGTCCAGCAAGGAGAACTTCCCACTGCCACCAGGGACGGGGCCAGGGCTCCCAGGGTGGGATTTGGGAACAGGAGAGGGCCATGGGGTCTGCTGGCAGGGCAGTGTATCCCAAGCCGTATCCAAGTGTCCCCTCTGTCCCTGTGGTGCTGCCTCTGTCTTGTGCACCATAACCCTGAGCAAATCCTACCATTCTTGGTGCTGCCTGTGGCTCCCTGGCATTCCCCTCTCTCTCAGCTTATTGGGCTGGGCATTAAAAATAGACCTGCTCACGTTTTCCTTGGGCTTGATTTTCCAGCTACGCTCTCTCTTGCTTTTACAAGGAGCATTTTCTTTGCCCTTGTCTTCCCTTTCTGCCGTCCCAGCGGTGGAGGGGTGGGCAGGGTGGGCACTGCAGCGGCTCTGCAGGAGCAGGAGCCTTCCTGGATCGCTGGCACTGGTGGGATTTCGCAGTGGGATTCTCCTGGATCATCCCCCCAACCCAGCTGGGGGATCAGACATGCCGACATCCCCTCCTTTTCGGTGTATGGGGACTCCTTGTGTCCATCCACCCTGGATCTTTGTGCTCTGGGGCACAGCCCAAGCTCCCATCGCTATCACCTGCTGTCATCAGGCTCTCCCTGCCCAGGATCTCTCCTGGCACCCGAGGTGGAGGGAGCATCCTCATGAGCACGAAGGATCCTCCCTGCCCCGGAGCACGGTGGCACTGGGGTCGTTGCCAGCAGCGAGTGACACAGAGCTGATCCCAGAGTGCTGGTGGCAGAGGGCGAAGGGAGAGCGTGGGAATGCGCTGGGGAAGGAGCGAGCGGTCCGATCCCCCTCTAGCGACTCGCCCGGGCAAGCACAGCCCGGCTCGGGGCACTCGCTGCCTCCATCAGCCCCGGCAGCCGGGACCCCGTTTGCACAGCCGGATTTGAGCCTGGCTTCGTGGCCACAGCTTTCACACTGCCAGGTGTCCCCACACCCTCCCAGCAGCTGGCTCAGCCCCCCAGGGCACCTCCTTCCCACAGTGAAGTGCTGGGCAGGCTGAGATGAGACACTGATTTTCTGTGTGACCCTGACCCACACCCCATCCCTCCCCTCCCTGTAAGATAAGGCTGATGCCATTTACCCTCTGTCATAGCACTGCAGGTGAGAAGCACCTGGCTGAAGTTGGTCCAGGTGCTTCCCAGCCCTTCTGCTGACCTTCCCCCCCGTCCCTGCAGCGCTGAGAGGGGAGAGCGGTGAGTATTTCCTCAACGGGAGGCTCTCCATCGATCCCCCCCGACGCTTTGACATCGCCGGCACGACATTCCACTACAGGAGATCCCCTGAGGAGCCCGAGTCGCTGGAGGCCTTGGGACCCACCAACATCACCCTCTTTGTCATGGTTGGTAACATGGTTCCTTTGTGCCCCACCTGGTCAAGGCTAAAGAGAATTTGCCATGCTACGTGGGAGTTCATAGAATCACAGAATATCCTCAGTGGGAAGGGACCCACAGGGATCATCCAGTCCAACTCCTGGCCCTGCACAGACACCCCAACCATCCCACCCTGTCCCTCAGAGCGTTGTCCAAACAATCCTGGAGCTCTGGCAGCCTTGGGGCCGTGCCCACTGCCCTGGGAAGCCTGGTCAGTGCCCCAGCACCCTGTGGGGGAAGAACCTTTCCCTGAGATCCATCCTAAATCTTCCCTGGCTCAGCTTCAAGCTGCTGGACCTAATCAGCCCCTACCCTTGCTGTCTGGAGTAAAGGGACACAGAAATCAGAGGCAAATTGGGCTAAATTCTCAGGTCTCCCTCCCAATTTGCCAGGCTTTGGGATGATTTAATCCTTAAGTGCATGGGAGCTTGTTCCCTGATTGTGTCACCTTCAAAGGTGACTGGCTACTGTGCCAATTCTGAGAAGGACTGGAAAAGGGAAAGGGGGGAAGATTTCAGCTACCCTTGATTTAAGAGAGCTCATGGGATGATCGAGATGGTCATGCTGGACTTCAGTGGCACTGATGCCTTGGTGGTGCCTTTCTCTGCAGGTCCTGGTGCGGACGGAGCCGCAGGGGATCCGCTACAAGTTCAACGCACCCGTTGGCAGGGACGGCTCCAACCAGTATTCCTGGCACTACACCCCATGGACCAAATGCTCCGTGCTGTGTGCAGGGGGTGAGGTTTGATCCCATTTTAGTTGGGGGGGATACATGTCTGCACTGCTGGGACTCCCACTGTTGTGTCTGAGCTGCACGAGGCAGAGCACGGACAGTGGTGTCTGCTCTGCTCTGCTCTGCTCTGCTCTGCTCTCCTCTGCTCTCAAGGAACTCTTGGGTCTCTCCACATTCCCACCCTGCACTCAGCCAACACAACCCTGTGGCCAGAGTGCCAGGGCAAACAACCTGGGGGCCACTTGCAGCTGGAACACGTGTGGGTGGTGGAAGTGGTGGGAGGTGGCATATCATAGAATCATGGAATGGTTTGGGCTGGAAGGGATCTTAAAGCCCATCTTCTTCCACCCCTACCATGGGCAGGGACACCTTCCACTAGCCCAGGTTGCTCCAGCCCCGTCCAACTTGGACTTGGACACTTCCAGGGATCCAGGGGCAGCCACAGCTTCTCTGGGCAACCTGTGCCAGGGCCTCACCACCCTCACAGGGAAGAATTTCTTCCCAATAACCCATCTAACCCTGCCCTCTGGCAGTATCAGAAGCCTTTCCTCCTTGTCCTGGCACTCCAGGCCCTTTTAAATCCATTTACTTATGCAATGCATCAAATCATGGAATGGCTTTAGATCAGGAGGGACCTTAAAGCTCATCCTGTTCCACCCCCTGCCATGGACAGGGACACCTTCCACTAGCCCAGGTTGCTCCAAGACCCATCCAACCTGGCCTTGGACAATTCCAGGGATGGGGCAAGGACATATTGGTCAATCACGATAGTCCCTCTGGCCTCAGATCCACATGTATGTGAACAGAAACACCACTGGTGCTTCCCTGAATCCCTTGAGCTGGTTCCCATGGGGATCGACACCAAGGTTTGGGCCATGTCTTGTGGCTCTAGAGATCCTGGCTGTGAGGGACTGAGCTGGTGTTCAGAAGAGAAGAGCTTAATAATGTTCCCCGTTTAAAGCTCAGGGCCCTGACCTGGTCTTGTGTGCTCGACCTCAACCAAGAGTTTGTCTCCCTTTGTTCCAATTATTCCCCCCAGTGCTGCCCAGAAAATGTCACAAGGCCAAGGTTAGAACAGGTTTATTTGAGGATGAGATCCTTGGAATGCTTTGATCCTCCATCCTGTGACATGCCCTGGCTGGTGACCTTTAGATTCACAGATTTATAGAATCATTAAGGTTGGAAAGGTCCAAGACCATCGAGTCCAAACTGTGACCAATCCCCACCTTGCCAACTAGGCCAGAGCACTGAGTGCCACGTCCAGTTGTTGACACCATCATTTCACACCCCCAGTTTTTACTGGAGATGTCAGAGGAGGCCTTGGTGATGAATAGAAAAGTAGGTTAAGGCTTGAGGTGCAGGGACAAGTGGCTGATCTGTCACATCCCCCCACGGGAGCAGAGCTGTGGGGCCAGTTCCATGTGAGCCCTCACCGTCCTCCTCTCTTTCCTCCTTTGCCTCTTTTCTCTTGGCAGGCAGCCAGATCCAGTCTGTGGTATGCAGGAAACTTTCTGATGGCTCAACTGTCTCCAACCATTTCTGCAGCCCTGAAAACAAACTGCTGGAGAGGCAGAGGCTGTGCAACACCGAGCCATGTCCCCCAGCGTGAGTCCCGTGGCAGAGAGCAGGTGGAGGGAGGGAGGGTGGGAAAGCCAGTGTGGAAGAGGGTGAAATTCCCCCTTGTCTGCCATTCCTGGGTCAGAGTCCCCCACCACAGCAAAAAAAAAAAATCCTGTTGGTCAGGTAATACACAAAATTATCCAATTATTCCAAAATTATTCCAAAGGATCCTTTTCCACCTTCTACCAGTTTTAAACCAGGATGACACCAATGTGTGAGACACTGGTAGGGTATCCAGGGGTGTTACTGCCTGGCTAAAGCAGCTCTGTTGCAGAAGAGAGGAAGATTTCTCCTCCCAGATACTCAGTGAGTCCCTCCAAAGTTGTCTCAGCCCATCTCTATCTGTCCTTGCCCCTCCCTTGAAGGGAAGGGGAGATGCGGAGGAACTCTGTGGTTCAACCAGAGCTGCCTGGGAGGCTGTGACCAGAACAGGACCAAGGACTGAATGCAGGAGCATGAGGACAAGGACAAGCCTGGCCCACTGAGCTCCTCCCAAGCTCTGCTGTTTGTCCTGTCTCCAGGTGGGTGATTGGGAACTGGTCCGAGTGCAGCCGGAGCTGCAACGAGGGTGTCCGCACGCGCAGCGTCTTCTGCAAGCGCAAGATCTCCTCCACCGAGGAGAAGACCTTGGATGATGCTTCTTGCTCCCACCCACGGCCAAAGATGCTGGAGCCCTGTAACAACCAGACGTGCCCTCCAGAGTGGGTGGCCCTGGACTGGTCAGAGGTAAGAGTTAAAGGAGGGGCATGGAGATGGGGACGGGTCTGAGGAGCAGCTGAGGGCACTCGGCTGGTTCAGCTGGAGCAGAGGAGACTGGGGGGAGACTCCTCGGGGGCTGCAGCTCCTGCCGAGGGGAGGCGGAGGGGCAGGGACTGAGCTCTGCTCTGGGACCAGGGACAGGACCCAGGGAAGGGCTGGAGCTGTGCCAGGGGGGTTGGGATGGATCTCAGGGAAAGGTTCTTCCCCCACAGGGTGCTGGGGCACTGCCCAGGCTCCCCAGGGCAGTGGGCACGGCCCCAAGGCTGCCAGAGCTCCAGGAGCCTTTGGACAACGCTCTGAGGGACAGGGTGGGATTGTTGGGGTGTCTGTGCAGGGCCAGGGGTTGGACTGGATGATCCCTGTGAGTCCCTTCCAGCTCAGAATATTCTGTAATTCTGTGATTCACAAGAGCCCTCACCCCTCAGAGGGCCCTGGTCTATGAGGCAGTGCCACTCACCAGGTCAGAGCTCACCATAGAGAGCATAACCTGGGGAATGGTCTTGTAGCTCAGGACACAGGGAAGGTGGGAGGACACATCAGGGAGCCAGAGTTGCCTGTCTCTGCTCCTTGCTGGACCCCCTGACCTGTGCCCCCTCTTTCCCCTCCCTGCAGTGCACCCCGAACTGCGGCCCCGGCTTCCGCCACCGCATCGTCCTGTGCAAGAGCGGCGACCACAGCGCGACCCTGCCCACGGCCCAGTGCCACGAGGCCTCCAAGCCCCCCACCAGCATGAGGTGCAACCTGCGGCGCTGCCCCCCGCCCCGCTGGGTCACCGGCGAGTGGGGAGAGGTAGGGACACTCCTCCCCGTGGAAAACTCCCCAGCCCCTCAAATCCTCGTGCACATGAGGCTTTTACCAGCCAGCACAACCCCATGTGGCCACCACAACTATCTGGGACCCTGTGGCAGGGTTCCTTGCTCCCTCCTGGCTCAGAAGGCCATGTGATGGTGGCCCAAGGGCACAGCTGACCCAGGAGTCTCCCAGGTCTAGCAGGGCCCCGTGGAGGTTGTGTGAGGGCCACCATGGGTACCTAGGGTCAGCAGGGCTGTAGTGGCCCAGCTCCATGTAGGGCCACTGCTGGTCCCCCCACCACAGCCCAGCAGGGCAGCACTGACAGTCCCTCCTTCCCTCAACACCCCTCAAGCTGCAGGGTGACATTGGGGTGCAGGAGGCCTGAGAACAACCAGTGGTTTAGGGCAGGATGGAGAGATCCTCACTGAGTCCTGGAGATTCAAACCAAGCCTTTTGGGAAGTGGGGTAACAGCACTGTCATGCCAGGAGGTCCCCGGGGAGGGAAGGGATGACCACACCCAGCACCCTTTGCACCTCCCAACACCCAGCAGGTGTTCCTAAAGCCGTGGTGGCCGCCACAGCTCCCTGTGTGCTGTCCCCACAGTGCTCGGCCCAGTGTGGCCTCGGCCAGCAGAGAAGATCCGTCCAGTGCCTGGCCCACACCGGGCAGCCGTCCAGTGAGTGTGTGGAGGCCCTGCAGCCCCCGGGGATGCAGCAGTGCGAGACCAAGTGCGAGTCGGGACCCACGGACAACCCTGAGGGTGAGGGGAACGGGATCTCTGGGATGGGAAACGTGGGGCACTGCCAGCTCAGGGGCTGCGTGGTATAGGGACATCAGAGCCAGCACAGCCCGAGCTGGGCTCTGGGGTGAGGAGACCCCATCCCTGGAAGTGTCCAAGGCCAGGTTAGACGGGGCTTGGAACAACCTGGGCTAGTGGAAGGTGTCTCTGCCCATGGCAGGGGGTGGGACTGGATAGTCTTTAATGTCCCTTCCAATCCAAATCATTCCACAGAGTGGTTTGGGTTGGAAGTGAGGCCATTCTGTGTTCCAGTGCTGTCTCCCACTGGGGGACAACCAGGTCAACCTGGTGTGCTGTGACCCTGAGAAATGGAGTAACTTAAGGCCTTGATTTGAAGCCATGTGAGGACACTGAGGGTACTTGGTGTGTTCAGCTGGACAAGAGGAGACTGAGGGGAGACCTCACTGCAGTTCCAACTGCCTGGGGAGGGGCAGAGGAGAGGCAGGGACTGAGCTCTGCTCTGGGGGGATCAAGGACAGAACCCCAGGGAATGGCTGGAGCTGTGTCAGGGCAGGGTGAGGTTGGATCTCAGGAAAAGGTTTTTCCCCCAGAGGGTGCTGGGGCACTGACCAGGCTCCCCAGGGCAGTGGGCACAGCACCAAGGCTGCCAGAGCTCCAGGAGTATTTGGATGATCCTCTGGGGCATATGGTGAGACTCTTGGGAATGATCCTGTGCAGGGCTGAGGGTTGGAATCAATGATCCATGGGGGTCCCTTTCAACTCAGCATGTTCTGTGAGTCTGTGAACTGCACCTTGGCAGACTGAGGTTTTCAGCAGTGAGGTTCTCAGTAGCTTCTTCATCACAGCATCTTGCTGCTTCCTGGCAAGAACACCCCCAGGAGCTGGACACTGGGGTTCTCCTCACCTTGAGGCAGCTGTAACTCTGCTTCCTTCCCTCTGTCTCCCCCCCAGAGTGCAAGGATGTCAACAAGGTTGCCTACTGCCCGCTCGTCCTGAAGTTCAAGTTCTGCAGCCGGACCTACTTCCGACAGATGTGCTGTAAAACCTGCCAGGGGCATTAGGGACACAGCCTGACCCCTGTGGGAAAACTGGAAGGCAAAAGCTATGCTGGAGGGTCACCGAGCCGGGCCCTTCCTCTCCAACCTGGGAATCTCCCCTGGCTCCAACACAGACACTGCTCGTGCTTCCAGTGGGAGCCAGCGCCACCCAAACCCCCAAAACCAGCAACCTTCGCCCCCTGAGCTTCACGATGGCAGGTTCCCAGTTAAACCACTGCAGCTCCCAGCATGGATGAGCGGTGGGAGAGTGGGAATATGGGCAGGGACATTACTTGAAGTTCTGATGTTGTTATTTATTAGTCGTGGGCCCAGGTCCTGCCAGTGGGGGAAGCGGCACCACTCACCTCATCCTGTTCCATGCCCGCGTCCGAGGGTATCACAGAGCACCGTGGTCTGCAGTGGGAGCCTGAGCACACCCAGGGGTGCTGCCATTCCCTCGGGATCCCAGGGGAGACAGGGAGGAGGGTCTGGGTGCCTCGGGTGACGAGCGTGGCGTGTGGCTCCTGAGGAAGAGCCGCTGTGGGAAGTGGGGTTGGAGCAGGAATTTTGTTTGCATCCTGTCACCTTGGGACCTGCAGCAGGGGAGAGGGAGCAGGTCACTCCACGGTGACACCAGTTTAGCTGGGAGAGGGGGGTTTTTCAAACACTCATAACGACCTACTTTGATTGGGGTGTCCCCCTATTTTTCCTGTCACTTTTATGGCCATGTCTATTCCTCGAAGCACGAGTGTGTGCTCAGGGTTACGGTCACTTCATGGGCATCAAGGCCATGCTGGGCTGCAGGGAGCAAAGCAAAGGAGATACAGGACACGAACTGTCCTGCCACGGTGTCCCCACGGCCCTGACTCAGGACCAGCCTGCAGGTCCTGCCCAGAGAATGCCAAAGCCTCTGAGGCTGCTTTGCCTCCAAAGGTGCTTTACTTCCAAAGGTGCTTTGCCTCCAAAAGGTGCTTTGCCTCCAAAAGGTGCTTTTCCTCCCAAAGGCAGCCTGGCCATGTGCCACCGTGGCCTCGGGGTGCCAGTCCCAATGCCACCCGCTCCTGTGCCCACAGGAGACCTCTGGTGACGGAAAAAGAGCAGGCTTGACATTCCTCCAGGTCACCTCCTGCCCAAATCTGGGCCAACACTTGTCTTCTCCATGCAGAGGAGATCTGACTTCAAATCTCCAAAGCACATTCTTTCTGTTACCATTATTGTTGTTATCACTACAATTTTCAGGCCTTTCCACATCCCAAAGATGGGAAATCTCATCCAAAGACGTTTTGTTCCTTTAGGGTCATCCCTACAGTGCGGGGAGGGGTCAGCCCTCTTTCCCCAGAGCAAACCTCTGCACCCTCCCAGCCTCCCTGTGTTACTCTACCACCTGTATTTTAGTTTTCACCTGCTCCTCGGCCGATTCGCAGCTTCTCTGGTGCTCAGCAAACCCTGCCTGGCTGGGGGTCCTCATTTGTCTTCCTTCCTGGTGCCATGTTCCGTTCTGACATTTTGGTGAAGGGAGGGGGGTGTTTTCACCTTTTTATATAGATATATATATAATGAAAAATGTTTAACATACTAACTCTGAGGAGGAGCGACGTTAACAGCATGATTTATAATAAAGGAGTAGCTACGATCCCGGGCACAGCTCCTGCTCCCAGTCGTGTCTCATCCCCACACCACCACGATCCTCGTGCCGAAGGAGGGGGTTGGGAGCAGGGGAGGTTTTTCCCAAGGGACTGGAGAAGGTCAGAGAGGTGGAGATCCACGTGTAGGACACCAAGGTCACAAAGACCCCATGTTGGTAATGCTGGTCTGGACCAGCAGGTCAAGGGAGAGGATTCTGCCCCTCTGCCCCCCTCAGGTGAGACCCCACCTGCAGAGCTGCTCCCAGTTCTGGGGTCTCCAACATCAGAAGGATTTGGGGCTGCTGGAGTGAGTCCAGAGGAGGCCACGGAGCTACTCTAGGGCTGGAGCCCCTCTGCTCTGGAGCCAGGCTGGGAGAGCTGGGGGGGTTCACCTGGAGAAGAGAAGGCTCCAGGGAGACCTGAGAGCCCCTTCCAGGGCCTAAAGGGGCTCCAGGAGAGCTGGAGAGGGACTGGGGACAAGGGATGGAGGGACAGGACAAGGGGAATGGCTTCCCAGTGCCAGAGGGCAGGAATAGATGGGATACTGGGAAGAAATTCTTCCCTGTGAGGGTGGTGAGGGGTTGGGATGGAATTCCCAGAGAAGCTGTGGCTGCCCCATCCCTGGAAGTGTCCAAGGCCAGGTTGGAACAACCTGGGCTAGTGGAAGGTGTCCCCCCCATGGCAGGGGGTGGGATGGGATCAGATTTAAGGTCCCTTCCAACTCAAACCATTCCACGATTCTGTGATCTCGGGATGGTGTGCCTTCAGGGGACAGAGGGGACATGGCAGTCAGAGCTGTCTCAGTCCTTGGCTTTCTGCCACAGCAATGGGTCATCTCTGCTCCTCAAGTGTGGCCTTTTTTATTTAAAAGACCTGAAAGAAAAAGAAGGCCCTGAGCATCCCTGGCAGACTGCACCAAGCATCCACCTGTTCACCCAGGTGAGTGGCCCCCACAACCAGCAGCAGAGGTGGGGACACTGTTGGACAGGGCCACCCCAAGGTCCCATGGCAGCAGAGCCACTCTTGTCCTCCCCACCCCCAGCAAACCCTCACGAAATGAGGAAGTGGGAGGAGAAAAAAAAAAATTAGTCGCAATTTTAGTTGCAGCAGAAACACAAAGTGCTCCGGGATGGCACCAGAGCCTCGGTGACAGGAGCACGAGCACCCCCGGGGGCAGGACACAGGGACACCATGGTGAGTGCAAGAGGGGCCCTCCTGGCCCCCCCCCCCATCCCCCTTAGGCACCCTGGGGATGTCACCCCCTCTTCCTGCCACCTCAGGGCCGCCTCAGGCCTGTCCTGTCCTGCACCCACCGTGCTGCTTCCTGGGAAGTGCCAGGAGCCTGCCAGAGTCCCTGCTGGAGAGGGGACAGTGTTCCCAGGCTTGGGGACAGGGAGCAGGCTGGGGGAAGAGCTGGGTCAGGACACAGAGGTGAGGAGCAGCCAGGGATGGGTGCCAGTGCTGGGCGCAGGGTTGGTGTCCCCCAGAGCAGGATGGAGCCCACCAGGGGATGAGTCTGAGCTGACACAGAGTGTGTTTGATTTTGCTCTGGTACCCACGGGCGAACCTTGTGTTCCTCCCAGCCCAACTTCCCACCAGAGCTTCTGGGTTTGGGGTGCTGATGAGGTCAGTGGGGGGTGGGCAGAGCGTGGGGTGGTGGGTGCCAGCCCTGTGCTCCAGGCCAGGAGGGACCCTCTGGGTGTCTGCCCCCATGGTTGGACCTTGCCCCCTTGGCAGATGCAGGGAGCAGGGGCTGCAGGCAGCACATGGGGCTGCTGGAAGGCCAGTGGCCACATCTGGAATTGCTCCGGAGGCAGAAGAGGAAGATGAAAGCTCTGAAAATTAGGGAGATGCTCAGACATCGAGGGAGAGTCTCCACAGTGGGGTCACAGCCGTGTCCTCCAGCCCATGGCCTGCTCTTGGGGGGATGTTGTTCCCAGCCACCACCACCCAGACAGGAAGGGGACAGTGGCCAGGCTGGAATCAAAGCTTCTCCCACCCACGGCCGTGGCTGCCACCTCTGAGAGGCTGTTCAGCTGCTGTCCCCCAGAGACACGGCCACTGTCCCCTCCCCACCGCCACCCAACACCTGGAGATGTTTTGTGCCTTCTCCAAGGGCCGTGGGGCTGCACAGTCAAACCCCCAACCCCTTCCAGCCCCCATCCCAACCCTTGCCTGTGCCTGGCTGTGACAGTGATGTAACAGCCCTGCTGCTCTTCTCGAGGTTTCCGGTGCTTTTAAGGTGTTGCTGCTTCTGGGCCTGCCCTGTCTCAAGACAAACCACCTTGGGCTGCATCCGCTCCCTGCTCGGGGCTTACAGGTTTTTTTGGTGGTTTAGGCCTCAGCTTTGAAGAAAAACATGATGTTTTGCAAGTGCTGCTACAAGGCTGCTCCCTTCCCTGCCTCAGTGATCCTGTCTGAGCTCCAGGGGCATCCAGAGCCCCAGTGCTGACAGTCCCCATCCCACATGCCTGGGGATGCTGCTGGGCTCCTCACGTGTCACCTGCTGTGCATGGCATCACTGTTGGAGCAAAGTCCCTCAGGCACAGAGGCTGCAAAGGGCAGCTGGAAGGTCAGGGATGGGCAAAAGCTTCTCCCTGCTTAGCATGAGGATGAAATGGTTTCCTGGAGGTGTTTGGTCCAGGCACCCTTCCCTGGGGACCTCTACTCTCCAGTTCATCCCTAACTTCATCCTGGGGCAAAGGAGGGGACCTGGACAGAGGAGGGGACTGAGGAACTGCTGCCCTAAACCTCTAAAAGCAAATTTTGTGCCCCCACTCCCACAAGGTGCTGCCTGCAGCCCCATCCCCTGGGGGCTCACTGGGCACCAAGCTTGGGCAATGCCGTGGTTTTGAGGGATCATAATTCCTCTTCATCCTCCCCCAAGATTTTAGTGAGCCCCGGCCCTGCAAACCCCTTGGAACGTGCTCAGGGAAGCCAGGCAGGCTCTATGATCCCACAAACAGGGTGGAAACACCCAGAGCCTTGCAGATGTCCAGGACAAACCCTTCATTGAAAGTGAGCCGGTGTTTTCCTTGCAGCTGAGAGCCAGGAAAACACCTGAGCTGGCCCAGAGGAAGAGGAGGTGGTGAAGGCACACACTCACCACTGACAGCTCTGAGCAGTCGTGTGACTGAAGGAGAAGCTCTGGGTGTCAGATCAAAATCTCCGAGCTTTCAGTGCAGGAAATGCTCATATTTGCCTTAATTTGGTGCCAGAAGCAGTGCCAGAAGCAGTGCCAGAGGGTTTGGGATGATGGGGACACAGAACAGAGGTGTTTGGTCCCCCATGGGCTTTTCCTGGCTCTCTCCTCTCTGCCTGAAGCACAGGGTTTTGGTTGAAGCTGGGCAGCTCCTGGGGTCACTGGCAGCTCCCTGGGAGCTGAAATGGGTGACTGAGCCCACCTGCATTTTTCCAGGTGGATTTTCTAGGGGATATTAAGATGGAGGGCAGGAACAGGAGGGGAAGGCAAGAAAAAGACTCATAAACAATAAACAGGAGGAAGAGGAGAAGCTCCCCCAGTGGTTTCAGGCTGTGTGAGCAGCCCCATTACCCCTTGGACCCCCAGAGCTGACCCAGCTCCAAAGCCAAAAGCCCCTTCACCAGCCATGGGGTTTGAGTTGCATTTGGGGTTTGGGGGGCCATGAGTGCTTTTTGGGTTGCAAAGCCCAGCAAGGAGGGAGGGGGACAGGGGGAGCAGCACGATGGTGCGGAACTCCACGTCCCATGAGGGTCCCTCTGTCCCCCATCCCGATGGTGCTGGGTGGTGATGAGCCCCCAAAGATATTGGGGTCCAGAGGTCTGAAATCTTGAGAGGCAGCAGGAAAATGAAGCAAAAGGGGAAGAGGAGAAAAGGGAAATGGAAAGAGTAACAGGCCAGGGGCGACGGAGGAGAAGTGAAATCGGTGATGGAGCAGTGGGGGTAAAAGAGGAACCACGAGGGACAGGCCCAGAGGAGCCACGGGCAGGGCCAGACAGGGTGTCCCCTTCAGCACCTCACCAGGGGCCACACGGGCACCACAGCTGTGCCCAGCATGTTCCCCCTGCAGCATTGAGGGTGAGGGGAGCCCTCAGGGGAATTTCTGCACTGGGAAATCTCACCCCCCCACTCCCAGGGCTGGGTTTACCCCACAAGGGCTTAAACCACAGCCCAGTTTTCCTGCTCTGCCCCAGAAACAGAGCTGGGCAAGTTGGAGGACAGCTGGAAAGAGGGTGCTGGTGTCGCCCTGGGCAGGGGGAAATGGTGATGGGCGACAGTGGCACCTCTGCCCTGATACGAAGAGGATGTGGGTGGGCAGAGGATGCCACCACCACCCTTCCCCTGCGTTATTCTGGTGCCCCTTTGACTCATAAGCAGAGCCTGTGCATCAGCCGCTTCCTTAGAGCTTCATTAAGCTCTGCAAGGAGCAGGGGTGATGGTGCAGATGTGCCCACAGTCTCAGCACTCTGTCTGCTCCTTGTCCGGTGCCAGACCTGTGGTGGGGAGGGATGCAGCCAGAGGGGTGGGGCGAGGCCTGGTGCACTGGATTTGGAGCTTTGGGAGCTCCCAGCTTGGCCAAACCCCCTCATTGCACCTATTTTGGAGCCACAGCTGAGCTGGGGGCCAATCACAGCTCCCAGCAACTCCAGGGGAGTTTTGGAGCTCCACTCCCAGCAGTGGTGGCCCCTGTGACACATTCCCTGTGTCCCTGCAGGGCAGCAAGGAGCGCTTCCACTGGCAGAGCCAGAATGTCAAGCAGAGCGGTGTGGACGACATGGTGCTGCTCTCCAAGATCAATGAGGAGGCCATCGTGGAGAACCTCAAGAAGCGTTTCATGGATGATTTCATCTTTGTATCCTCCCCAGGGCAGCAGGATGGGGACAGGGAGCAGCAGGGATGGGCTCCAAGGCTTTGCCAGGGCATGGGACAAACTGGGGCTGCCCCAGTGCTTGCAGAGTGTCCTGTCCTCACACTGGTGGGATCAGCTGGAGGAATGTTGCCATTCCCAAACTGACTTGCACTTGG